GCACTTTTTTATGACAAGTTTTGATTTGCAGAAGAAACCACTTTTCACTACAATGTTGTGTTAGGGTAATTTACTAGGGGGATTATTTTTGTTGCTTTGAAGTATTATATCTTCTGAGGTTTTATCAACCACTTTTAATTGTTAGATTCTTTTTTATCAAACAAACAATAATCAAAACATAACGGTTAAAGAACATTGATGACACGTTTATGGAACCGTAATGAAAATATAAGGAATTGAATTGAGGAGGAGTTGAAATGAGGAAAAGTCAAAATCAGATTCCTGTTGAAGCTGTTTACTTAAATGTTATGGAATCAGAATAGAAATAACATTAATTTCATAAAATTGTTTACCAATTCAATAGAATCGGAATATAAGCCAGTATAATTACTAAAATGCCCTTGTCCCAAATCAAATATTTCATATACTTTTTTTTAATAAAATTTGATATAATATATAATAGTAAGAAAAAAAAATTAAATTACTTTTTTATTTCATAGACACACAAAAATGCTTTTGTTTATTATTATTTTTTTATAAATTTAAGTTACTTTAATATTTAAATTTTCTCGCTCAAATTGTAGTTTCTTCTCTTCGGCATATGCATGGAATTGTGCATAATGTAAATAAGCACGGAGTTGTGCATAATGTGAATGAGGGCATAATAGGAAGAAAAAATGCATTCATGATTCCTTCACCCTCTTGGAATTCAAATACCTCATCTATCCAAGGAATCCCACTCCTCCAATTTCAGGAATTGCATTCCTTGTTTCGGGTGGGGTCCATCACACTATTGATTCCCTAGTATTTAGTAAACACCGGAGTAATCCGTAATCGAAATTCAATTCCGTTCTTTTATTCCCAATACCCTTACGTAAACACGTTATGAATATGTTGCAGAGCATCATAGAATTTCAACTACTAGGATATTTATGAAATAATTTAGATTCCAAACCATCAAATCCAAATTTAATATTAGTAACTTGTAGCAGGAAATGAGGGACCAGCCACCCAGAGGTGGGAGTCGGGACCAGAGAATACGTGAAGTGGGTAAGCGTCATGTTTGTCAAACTGATCCATAATTCAGGGCAAGGCAAGGCAAACGAATGAATGAATGTCAAAATCTGTTTGCTGTAGCTTGCGCAACTCGACATCTCCCTCTCCAATCCAATCCAATCCATCATCACCTCCTCATCCACTAACGAGTGGTCTCCAAATATTAATATCTTCCATTTAAATCGGAGGGAAAATTGTTTTGGAAAAGTGTTGGAATGCATCCAATCTTGATTCTGCTCAAGGTAGGTATTCTCAAGTCCTGGGCTTTCCCAGCCCAATATCTGCCCTATAAAATTGGGCTTCACTAGTAGCCTTCCCTCACCCATTTATGTCCTTAGTTTGACCAAAACTGAAAGACAGACAAATTAAATAAATATTTATTTGCTCCTTGTGATCCTATGTTTCATTTCAACAATGAATAAGGTTGTTAGGTACAGCATAGCCTTTGAAATTTCATGTATCAATTAAAATTTATAAGGGAAATAAACTATTTTCCTCCATCTTGTGTTATTTTTTACCTTTGGATAACTTGTCGTCTAAGTGTAGGGTCTTAAACACGTGTTAAATTTATCACGTATGTTAATAAGCGTATTTTGTCAAAAACAAATTTCAGATGGAGCAAAATTTGATTTTGGTTATGAGGTGTCCTTGTGTGCCTCGTGGTGTAGGCTTGTGAATCTTGGGTGATAAGTTATGAATTTTTAGACCCAAATTTGATGATCCCATATAAGGGTGGAGCGTGAGGGCGGTGGAGGCCATTAGCCGCTGCCAAAGATGAACTTGTCGAACCTTCTGGACTCTTGACTTCTTCAAGTAGAGAGAGAGAGAGAGAGAGAGAGAGGTATTGTATTGGGTTGGCTCCAAATGTCCCCACCACAAAGTGCCGACCACTTGCCTTAAACCTTCAGAAAGTTGCAGTTCAATACTATGTACATAGTCGTCCCATGAATTAATCCCAATCCCTTTTCCCTTTTCCCTTTTCCCTTTCCCATTTGTTTGCTTTGTCATTAGATAATTTCAAAACATAAAAGAAAGGAAGAGACGATAAGACCGAGATGGGATAAGCAGAAATGCCGCCACCATTCTTATGCCTCATTCTATACTTTAACACAAACGGATAAGGCTGATATTTCCATTAATTTGAGAATTATTATCGTTGTTAATAGTATGTTAATACAACAATATATTTATATTACCAATTGAGCGATATAGTATTGAACTTGTCATTCAAATCAAATCTAAAATCTATCACTTGTGTCATCTTGAACAATAACAACATTGACTGAAGAATATTTTCTCCCTCTAAAATATTTTTTTCTAAGGATAATGCTAGGAAGACCTAATTTTTAAATTAATTTAATTTGCTAACTAAATTATGTATCACCATTAAGAAATAAGCATGTTAATCAATACTGAATTAATAACCAATCATCTACAACAATATTATTTAGATTAAAAAGTTTGATCTCCCTCACGAGTAGTAGAGCTTACATACTAATCTTTAGACAAATAGAGAAGAAAGAGAAAAAAAACCTCGTGTGTACTATGGTAAAAACTATTTTGGAGGAACGCTCGAGCTTTGAAAGGTATTTTGAGTTTGAGTTAACATTGTTTGCAGATTAGGATATAACTCACTTGTTGAAGTCGAAGTTCACATACTGTCGAGCTAAAACTAGCCTACATATGACATTGTCTGAAAATAACCTTACAATAAGGAAAAAATAGGGTAAATTACACTTTACTAGCTTAGGTTTGAGGTCTATTGTAATCTCATATAATATCTTCAAAACATTTCATTTTCATACCTTACGTACTATTTTATTTCAATATAATACATTCATTACATTTTTCATCCATTGATCTATTAAAAGCTAACGTGGCTGCCAAATTTATACCACATGAAAAAAAAAAAAAATTTATACATTAAAAATATTATAATATTAACCCTAAAACAAAACAAAACAGAAATTCAAAAACCCATTTCTCCCCCCGATCCCCACCTCCCTCTCCTCCACTTTCTTCACCCCCCCTCCATATACTCAAAACAACTTTGAAGACCCAAAGAACCTTTTTGCTTATCTTAACCCCATTCCAAAGAAAAGGACCTGGGAAAGCTTCTACGTATAACAAACCTGCGGAGCTTTCTCGACAAACTCCCACGGCCGCTCGAGCTTGGACACAGCGGCTTTGAGCTCGGCCCTCTTTCGAATCTCATAGATTTGGAGAACGAGAGGCACTGCATTTGGGAAACGAATTAGGGATTGAGTGGAGAAATAGGGGGAAAGTGGAGAATTGAAATTAGGGTTTGCAGAGATTGGAACCGAGGAAGAAGATGGCGGGAAGTGAGGGCAGCAGAGCCGGCAAGTACGATGGCAGAGGTGGGGGGATGGGGTGGGTTTTTGGATGGGAGGGGAAGAGGTGAAGAGAGTGGAGGAGAGGGAGGTGGGGGTCGGGGGGGGGCAATGGGTTTCTGGGTTTCAGTCTGTTTTATTTTATTTTATTTTTTAAATAGGTCAAAATTATAATATTTTTAATGTATAAAAAAAATTATTTTTTCACATGACATAAATTTGACAGTTACGTAATACAAATGTGTCAGTCACGTCAGTTCTTAATGGATCAATATATGGAACATGTAACAAATGCATTATATTGAAATAAAATGGCAGTTAAGATATGAAAGTGAAATGTTTTAAAGATATTGTATGAGGTTGCAATAGACCCTAAACCTGAGATAGTAAAATGTAATTTATCCGAAAAAATATTACTGAAAATGTAACAGATGTATTATATTGAAATAAAATGGTAATTGAGGTATGAAAATGAAATTTTTTAAAGATATTGTAAGAGGTTACAATAGATCCTAAACCTGAGATTGTAAAGTGTAATTTATCTAAAAAAAATATCACTGAAAACATAAGTGACAAAAAAAGAGAGGAATATCATGTGGAGCATACGAAGAAGCAGCCCCGACGAATCACTTTCACACAGCTCCGTGCTGATGCGCTTTTGGAGTTGGATGAGCACGTTTCCAGGCCGTCTAATCAAAGAGCAGGGGACCCTTCAAGTTTAAATTAGTTCCGTTGGTTTCGACCGTTGATCAACGATCCCACGCTCAAAATTCAAACGTGGGAGGGATAGGTCGTAGGATGACTAGGAATTCGAATTGGACGCGGAGAGGATGGAAAAAAGTGTCCTCCTCCAATAATACACTGATATTCAATTCAATATATAAGAATAAAATTTGCTATACAACAATTTGGCAACTGTTTCCCAATCAAATTATATATTAACCTGACGGCATTGCCCCTCTCTCCCAAAAAATTATGCAAATAAAAAAAATATGAAATATTATTCACGCTTTCCTTTTTCTTTTAGTTCTTCTTTCCTTTTGGGATATCAAATTTAAAAGGAGTAAGTGAAGAATACGAGCTAAATGCATTTTATTAACTATAGACCTAAATGCTTGTAAAATACCAGCTACTTTAATGATAGCTCTTATTTTCGGGTGAGATTACATTACTCTTAGTATTAAATTATTCCGTCGCTTAGAGTCATTAGCTTAAATTCAACAATTGCTCCACTTTTCTAACACAATCATTACATTTGGATCTAAATGACTCTAAATTACAGGGTATTCAATACTCCAAAATATATTTGATATTTCACTTACTTTAATTCATTTTTGATTGATTGCTTCATCTAAACGTTCTAAATACTTGAATGTGTGTTTGACCGCGCAGGACAAGACAAAGTAGTGCATCCATATATTTATGGCGTCAAAGACTTGATAGTTTTGTGAAAAACGCGTGAGGGCAAGACAACTAATAATAATACTATTGGTTAAATTAAAGTGAATATTCAATTGATTTTGATTAACATAAGTGCGAGGGCATTTTTGGAACTTCGGGTCACCTTTCTTTTATTTAAAGTCCGTTCTTTCAGACGCACACGTTGAGAGAAAGAACTGGACACAGACACACACACAGAGGCAGAGTTTTTTGAATTAAAGAGAAGTTTTCTGAAAACAGCGAAACACCGAAACAGAAAGAGGAGAGAATTGAGGGAGGGAGTTTTTGAAAATTATGGGAGACGTGATACTGTACGTGGAGGAGGATTTGAAAACATGCTCGGCAGTTTCGCTCTGCAGGATTTGCCATGAAGAAGAAACCGGAAGCTCCGATAAGACCATGGAAGCTCCCTGTGCATGCTCTGGAACCGTTAAGGCACACCTCAAAACCGAGTTTTGTTCTTCTTCTTGTTTTGGCTTTCTGAATAATCCTGAAAACGATTTATATATTCTGTTTTTTGTTCTCAGTTTGCACACAGAGATTGCATACAGAGGTGGTGTAATGAGAAAGGCAATACAATCTGCGAAATATGTCTTCAGGTAATAATCAGCTGATCAGATTTTTCATTTTTGGCTTCTTTTCGAATTTCATCATCTCTTATTTTTGTTTGGTGTTCCATATTTTAATTTGTTTTTAATATGTATTCTAATTCGATGAATTGGCTTTTGCTGTTTTGCTTCGTGTTTACGTATTTCAATCTTCAAAAATGGAATTGGGTCCGATGTCGTTGTTGTTTTCAAGTCGATGAAACGATGTATGAAAACATCGTTTTCTGTTTTGTCTGGATTCTTGGCATCTAAAATTTGTCTTTTCCCGTGACTTTGGTTTATGTTCCAAGTTATACTATTTGCTTCCTTGGTTCCGATGCAATACCAAACAACATTTCACAATTAATGACGGAGTTCTGAGTGTTGTGCTAGGAGTTGTTATTGACATTGTAAAACCTCATTACATATCATTATGTGCAATTTCCGCTTATGTTTTTATAGCAAAGAAGTGCGATATGATTTTTTAGGAGTGCAAATAATATAGCACAGTTTAAATTGGAAGAGAAAAATGGGGTTGATGAAGTTTTTCCAACCATAAAATATGTATATGTGCAGAGTTATGAACCAGGATACACAGCACCACCGCCAAAGAAGATGCAGATAGATGACTCAGCAGTAACAATTAGGTACGTCTCTATCTTTAAGTATCCAGAATTAGATATCTATAGTTTATAATATGGATTGGAGCGCTAGCCTATTGCTATTTTCCGCATTCGTTGCTTTACGATATTAATTATGCCTTCAATTTTCATTTTTTCTATATAATTAATCAAATGCACGTTTATTGCAATATTGAGGTTGATATATAATTAAATAATGAGGCAGACAGACTGTTTTGCAAGTAGGCATAAATTCTAATGCTTGTATTAATAACATGGGAATGTGATTAGGACCACTAATTGGAATGTTTCTAAATTGCGCAGATCCTTGATTTGATTTGATTTATGTTTAATATGTAATTGTTTATTTGGTTACAGAGACAGCGTGCAGGTTCCGAGAAGAGAGCTAGAGCAAGAGGAGGAGGAGGAGGAGGAGGGCGCAGGAAGCCCTAGATTAGCAATAGAAAATGGCTACTCTTCTTCTCAATGCTCGTATGCGGCTGACAGAAGTGCATCTTGTTGTCGATCTCTCGCTCTCCTTGTAAGTTTGTTCCATCCACATCTTTATGCACCATTATCTTAAGCCAATACAGCAGTCTGAAAGCAGCATATTCTTTTATATTGGCGATGGTTCATTTTAAATTAATCTAAATTGTAGAGATGTAGATTTTAATTCGGGTGCGTAGAGAAGCACTTCTGCTCTAGCCAACTTAGATATGCCAAACAATCAATAACTTGGTCAACTAATATTTACTGAAACAAAATAAATGCGTATTATGCGTGCGACCCACGACCGTTGGCGTTGGACATTATGTATTCAAGAAATGAATGAGTAGCATTATTGCTTGCTTGGTTGACCAAATTGGTCTCCATGTGGCAAACACGTAGGTTATCTTCCTTCTTTGACCTTGTATATATAAAATAAAAGTCGCAATGAAATGGTGTTTGCCCAATTCATACGGTTTTAAAAAGTTTAACCGTCTCCAGAAGAAACATGCTTTTAACTCTGTTAATTAACGATGAGTTTGAATTGCATTGCAGTTTACGGTGGTGTTGCTGGTGAGGCACCTCTTTGTGGTGCTTACCGGTTCCGACGAAGATTACCCCTTCACGCTTCTAACTGTAAGTACCAGTACCTGCACAGCACCTACCACTCTTCATTTGGTTTCCAAAATTTCCCTCTAAAAATGTACTTGTTAATATAATGATGTCGGGTGCTAATCTTAATTTGGCTGCATTTCAGGTGCTTATTATAAAGTCTAGTGGGATTATCCTGCCAATGTACATATTATTTCGAACAATCACAGCCATCCAAAACAGCATACACCGCCAGTATCATCGATATCATCGTTATGAACAAGGAGGCTCTGAAGATGAGACTGATAGCGAAGACCTGGCTGACAATGAAGAAGCTCAACATCATATAGTATGACACAATCTCTAATTGTATTGTTTTTCCTTCCATTCATTTGTAACAAACAGAGACAGCAGAGAGCATCGTATCAACGCTCACCTGTCTCTGACGTACATACAAAATGAAATACTATCGATTCTTTTTTCTTTTTGTTTTCTTTCCTTCATTTAAAGATTTCAGGTTATGGTTTCGAAATCAAATCCTATAAAGTTAGGGATCCACCAACCAAACCTAACCCAGAATTAGAAAAAAGTACTCAAGCAGGTTGAAGTTTAGAAACTCAGCAACCTGGATACTGGTCAGTTGGGTGAACCACCACTTTGATGATAAAGAAATATATCGTATACTAATAAGGAAACAACCAAACCAACAACCTTGGAAGCTTGTCGGGTCGAATATCGGAACCAATACATCAACATTGCAACTATCTTTTACAATGGAAGAACCGCTCCCCTGGCGGAAACAGGAATTTACCCAATTCTGGTGGATGATGATACGCGGCTTGAGGCTCAAAAATATGTACTTCTTCCCTTTAGTTACACGTTCCCCAGCCATTGGTAAGACTATAGCAAACGCCTTGCGAGTAGCCGGCCATTCCCAAAATCTTCATTCCGAGTGCAAACTCAAAGCTTATAGAGTGCAAAAGAAGCCATCATTATCAACTTTCTTGCTGTAGTAGTCTTGCTCTATGCCAAACTTCTGTCAGGGAGTCCATGTCAATGCTTTTGGTAAACTCATGACTAGTCAATTTTGCCACAATGCTAATCAACTCTTGAAAGCAAATGTTATCTCCAGATGCCTTCCTGTGTTTACCATATGTAGCCTCGAATTCCCTGGACTTGGCGGTAGCTTTTTTAAGGACGGAAATAGGAAGTCCTGTAGTGAATAATATACGTAGTAAGAACTACAATTTGCTAATGACTAAAATGAGCAATGCACAGATTCATCATAGAGTTTATTGCTTGCAAGCTTGTCTAGTTCTCATAAAAAAGTTCCCAGTCATGCGCATATTAACTGAGGGCAAGGTGCTTTAGATATACATTATATACATGTTGAAGAAAACCACAGATGACAGCGAGATGGCTCAGATCTAGATCATGCATCACAACCAAATGATTGCATTTCAATTACTGTTCTTGTGTTAAAGATGCTAGTAAGGAAGCAATACCAGACAAAGATACTTACCAGCTAACCGTGCAATGTTGACACCATAGCTTTTAGGGCATGCACCAGGATTCAACCTGTATAGAAATGTAACTTCTTCCACACCTCCATCTCCGTTTCCAACTTGGCATGCCATATGACATAGTGAAACCTATCAAAGAAGCAAGGAAATAAATTAGTCACAGAACAATTTATAGTATACGCATACAAGTGATCTTCTCACAAATCTTGTCAAAAGAAAATATAAATCAACCACAGAAGAATAAGAAAATACCTTAGAATTATTTTGATAATCTACAGCTAGTCGGTGATAATGGGTAGAAAACATTCCTCGGCACTGGACCTTGTAGATAAAATGCTCAAGAACTGATTCCCTGCCAGTTAAAGAGGACGTTCAAAGGTTGAAGAGGAAACTAATTAAAAATACTAAATTTTATTAAAAAGGAATCATTCACAAATATCTGGAATGATTGGCTCTTACGCAATGGCTTGTCCATCTGAAGTTGATGTTCCACGTCCAAGCTCATCCAGTGCCACCAATGAATTACGAGTAGCTAAAGACTACAAACAATATTGAAATATATGTTTAGAACAATGAATAAATCATAACGCCATCTATATAATTTGAAATAACTTCAATTTCCAGTGAACTGACATACTCATTACACTTATGAAACATGGCACAAAATATTGAAACAAGTTGAGAAGACATGATTTATGAATTTTCAAGAGAAAATGCACACACGATTTAAGAATTTTCTAGAGAAATGCATTCATAACCAAGATTAGAATCAGATGAAAAAATTTCAGCCCACACTACCTAAATAATATATTTTTATGAAAAATGAGAAATCAGAACATACATTTATAACACTAAACTAAATTGAACCAGGTTGCTCTAAATAGTAATCTCACCAGCATTGTTGCAGTTTCTGAAAGCTCCGTCAGAAATGTACTTTGGCCTACCATGATATTATCTTTAGCACCCATACGAACAAAGATTCGGTCAACAGGAGAAAGCTCAAAGCTCTCTGCAGGAACATCTGCTCCTAACTGCCAAAGAAACAAAAGCAAAAATGATCACACATTACAAGACAATGAATACCAAAAGTAAGGAATTCAGACAATAAGAAAAGACTACCTTACCTGTGCTAAAATCACAGCCAAGCAAACTTGACGAATAAGAGTAGACTTTCCACCCATGTTAGGACCAGTGAGAAGGATAAAGCTTGCATGGCCAGAACCTCCAATGGAAATGTCGTTGGATACAAATGCACCCTTTCCTAAAGAATCACTTCTAAGAACAGGATGGCCCAAACTTGTAGCAGAAAAACGAGGTACTTCATTACTACATGATGAACTCATGACAACTGGCTGACAAGAGGGGCCTTCAAAATAATCACTTGCAATTGCTAGACTGATTAAAACATCGATTTCTGCAACATGAGGGGTCAATATCAGCAGTGAACATAATATAGACACTAAATACTAGACTCATGGACTTGTTTCTAGAAATACATTTTTAGAATTTGTTTAACCAAAATGCTTCGAAATTAACTATAGTTAAATTCGTTTAAAATGGACCCATATTTGTTACAATCACATAGCTACATCTTTTGGGGAATCAATCAACTAGCACTACTCTTGTGTGTGTGTGTGTGTGATTTCTCTTATATTGCATACATAGCAGAATGCACTCACTAAAAAAAGGCAAATGACAAACTATGCTCCAGACTCCAGTTAATCCACCAAAGTTTGACCAAAATCGATCAGAACAAAGCAGCCCACAGAGGGAAAAAGATTGCATACCTGCAGTCACAGAGACCAATTGTCTCCATTTAAGACGATGCTCGCAGAAACGTCCAATTAACCTCTGCAAAATACTTTTTAGTGAGGACTCCTTATCAGTTTCAGCTTGCGAGAGCTCTGTCAATGACTTCTTGATATCTGGGGTCCAGTACCTCGAGAAACCCTGCATGTTAAACACAAGGAAGGCATGATCATATTAATATAAAACCGTCAAAGCTACTTAATTCACCATTCCAAAGATTTTTCTAATTACCTTTTTGGACGAACGTAACTCATAATCCGGAGGAATACAACTGCACAGACTTTCTGGCATTTCCAATAGGTAAGAATCTTTTCCGACTGTGACATAAGTGATCTGCAACAGACCAACAGAAGACCAAGTTACGAGATATCGTAACGTTTCTACTTAAAAGTACACTACTCAGAAATCAAAATGCCAATTTGTCTTCCATAGAAGTTCTTACCGATTTATCTCCCAGTAACTTTCTCTGTTCTTGGAGGTGTTTTGTTAAATGAGACTCTATCTCCTTTACTTTTTCACAAGCAGAGTCGTACTCAATATCGACTCCTTCATGAGGTATTATACGCCCTGAATTATTGGCTTCTACCCAATCAAAGGCATCCTTGAAATGTTTTAGAACTGAGTTGACATCAGGAAGACCTTTACCCGTAAAACAATGAACAATAAGATGCCAAGATTTCTTTAACAATGAAGGATGCATGCATGTACCAAAACAATGAACCTATACGAAGACTTTCTTATGGCAAGATTATATCTTTTAAAATGCAAAAAGCAAACAATACCCAGTGTCAGCAGATGATGAAGTTGTGCAGATTCAACATTTTCCAAGATAACTTTAAGAGAACAACATGTTTGAGCCATGAGTTCACAACCACGTAAAGCTGAAATAAACTCCTGAAGCTGTTTTTTTGCAGCATCCTCATAGAAAACCACTTTCTTAGCATTCCTTCCGCAAGCATTACTACATCCAGTCACATTCAGTTACCATAAATCATTCTTTGGGAGCATCAGTAAGTTCTCCATAAGCATAAAATCAACTGTTATTCCTAGTTTTACCTACTAGAGAAGACACGCACAAGCAACCGCTCCATGTCCGGAAGCCTAGAAATTGCTTTACGAAATTCAAGTGCATAAGGAAGATTAACTCCCTAGAAAGAAGCATATATAACATTTGTATGTTAGAAAGGCCTAGTGATTGGGTATCCAGTTCAAGTCATCTAGATACTGTACACTAAGATTCAGTGTTCAAGTGAAAAAATAAGAACCAGAAGTAAAATGTTAATATAATATGAACAGAGTACCCGAAGACTTGCAACAGCATCCTGGCGTTGCTTTATAAACTCTACATGATAGAGAGGTCTTGCAAGCCATGTTCTAAGCAATCTCTTCCCAAATCCAGTAACACAGTGGTTCAATTGTGCATACAATGTCCTTCATAGAGCAATACATTATCTAAGAATTTGGATTGGAATAAAAACAAACCAGAAAAGCATAAGACAATATGAAAGGTTTACCCTGAAGAGTCTCCATTTCTGTTGTTCTCAAAAATCTCAAGGTTCTCTAGGGCAGCTGAGTCAAGAACCATGTATGGTTTTGATACGGTATCACCAAAACCAGAACTTGGAAGTAACTCAAATTTTGCAAATCTGAGTATTGTCTCATCCAGGAAGGCCTGCTTTAAATAGAAAAGAGCACCTCCAAGAGCTGAAAGTGCGCAGATGCCATTCTCACCTGCTCTCACCATCTCTGACAGCACATCTGGCAAGCAGCCATAGCCATCTTCTTCTAAATGAGAATCACTGCCATGAAAACTGGCTTTCTTTGGAGAACCAGAAACCAATTGATCATCGGCACGCCTGTATATACTTCTAACTTCCTGAACAGTTCTCTCAGCATCCATGAATTCCAATACTGGGACTAACTCATTCACTAGAGGACTTCTTGTATGCCGAATCAGCACTTTCTCTGTTTCAGGACTAAGTAGATTTGCAGGTTTTACAATTTCAACAGGCCTCAGCTCAGACAAGAGACAAGACAAGGCACTGCACTCTAGATCATCTCCAAACTGGTATTGGGAAAGAAATACTAGTAAAAAACACAATCATACATAACAAGCAATTCACTAAAACGACCTTATGACACATCTACATCAGCATCTTATGAAATGGTAATTAGGAGTAATAATGTCACAACTTGCCCCAATGATTATATATGTCCTAAATAGCTAAAATATAATGGAAATGCAATGCATACATCCACAAACTCCATCAGGCAGCAGAAGATCACACTATCAGACCCTTTACATTCATAACAGGTACAAATTTTCACCTATTTTGCTTAGCAGTTACCAAGAACCCCTCTCCCGTCCCTCTCCCCACTGCTTTATTGAGTGATAATCCAGCCCAGTTCAGGGAGCAACTGTTTTATGTGCGCATATATAACTATATAATGATGAGATTAATCCAAGATAACTAAGAGAACAAGATGAAATGATGGTCTACCAGACTCATACCTGCCCAAGAATGACCCGGCTGGTAGCAACATCAACTACACAAACCCCAAAAACCCGCTCTGCATTTTCATTTGCCAAATTCTGAGAATTTTCAGTCACTGCCATTAGATAAGAAGCATCAGGGTTTGCTGACAGCACCTCTCCCTCAGTTAGTGTTCCTTTTGTAACCACTGCACATATTTCACGTTTCACAACCTATACACCAAGGTAAATTCAGAAGTTAATACCATTTTTCTAATTAATAGCTCCAATACAGGTATCAAATTACAACGTGCAGTGGTAAGAATTATAACACAGAATATCAAATTAATCAGATGACAAAAATTCAAGGATACAGACTGACAAGTGAAAAATGAGCATACCTTATCTATAGAGCCATCCTTTTTACGACGAAGATCCATCTGTTCAGGTGTTTCTGTCTGCTCCACTACAAGAACTCGATACCCCTAGTCACTCAAGGCAGCTTAAATAAATCTCCTTCCATAGTGTGAATGAGGCTTCACATAGATGCTGAACTTTAATAAAATAGAGTAAGAAAGATATCTCCAAATAGAGTGACAAGAGTAAAACCAACCTTCCTGGCAAGTTTCTCCACATTCATTGAGAAATTCTTCTCCGGAAATCCGCAATGGGGTTGTTCACCCTAATATCAGGCAACAACAAATCAATAACTAAAGAAAAACAAATAGGAAACACAATGGATGCATCCAGCAATCTAAACAATACAAAATCTCAGAACAATCAAGATAAAAATGTGAAACAAAAGAAAATACTATGTGCCCACCCACAAAGCCAACACCAAGACAAAATTTCAAGATATATTACCTTCATATACTGCAGACCAAGTTCTTTTGCTCCTATATGTGCATCCATTTCAAAAAGTTCATAAAATTTGCCCATCTGCTCAAACAAAAATGAGATATTCATCACCTGACTGCAATAATGACCCTGAATTTGTGTGGCATAATTTATCATTACTTGGCTACCTGTAAGGACGAGCATACCTTGAAAAAGATAACTTTGTCCATGTGCTTTGACTTAAACTCCCACCATTGTCTCTGAAATATTAACATGTCACTGAATTAAGAGTGTTCATAATAGTAAATGCCACAAAAACCCTTCATGCCACTTATCTATCTAGAAGCAAGCAATTACCTGGCCACCTGATAAACTCTTTAAGAATCCGGGAGGTAAGTACAGAGTTCTTGGATCATAATTTGCATCTCCAAGGCTTCTTCTTTTGGCATCCATGCGCTGTCTGTTTCCATAACAAAGCAGTTGAGCAAAACAATTTTGAAATTGGGCATCTACATGCAAACAGTATCTAAATGCTTCCAAAAGTAAAAGCAACAAATACAGATCCATGCATACTAATGTACAAAAATTTCTTTTTTCATCATTGTCATAGGCAAAACAGAAATCCAGTAACAAATGTTTTCGGTATATAATAATTATATGATGACCGTAGCCTAGCCATACAACAAGCTTCAAAGTTAACAGTAACTAAAAATGGAAAATTACAAATTTCCAGACATAGCAATCCCCAACTCCCAACTGCCAAATAAAACAGGTGTACAGTGGGATGGCCCTAAAAACACCATTAGGAATAAGTATAGAAACTTACTCCCCAAGGAAGTGCAACTTCTCAGCTTCACGCAAGCTAAACCTTGATGAGGCATCACCAGATAAAACAGTATCCATACCATTAGTCGCATTTGTCCCTGAAGTTAAGCAGACTCAAATTCAGCACCAGATAAAGCATAAACCAATTAAAGTTAATATAACTTGAGTATCCATTGACCGTCGATAAAAAAAATGTAGAACTACAATAAAGTTTTTAATAAGATACAATTACATAGAATGAAGTATCTAACAGAGTCATATAAGACAGAATAACTCTAGCTTGGCTTACATTGTCCAAAATGTGGTAAATCTACTTCTAAAACAGTCATTGAAGCACACATACGTGGAAAACAACCATATTAATAAAGATAGACACATGAAAGCCCCGCCGATATGTAGTAATTTTCTTAATAAAATCACATTTCTCATCTCCAAACAAAATCAACAAATAAAAGGCAAAATAGAGCACAAGCTCAATATGTAGTACTTACCTTCAGCATTAGGGGTAGGCTCCGGTGACACACCCTTGAGGCCGTTCATACCCACATTTCCACCACACTTGGTCTTCTTAGCAGACCCCAAACTCCCTCCACCGCTCAATTTTCTTTTACCACCGGAGTCACCCCGCTTTCTTTTGTTTGTGTTCGTGGGCACCACATCATCTTCCTCATCCTCCAATTCCCTAAGCTCCTCTTCATCGTCACCAACCTCAGCAACTAACTCTTTGTCCCCACTCTTTACCCAATCCTCATCGCTCGAATCATCATCAGCTACACCGTTGCTGTCTTCCTCATCCTCCATCACCACATCTACATCCACATTGGTGGGAGTTGGCAAAGGGCCTCGCCTCAAACGCTTGAAAATCTTCACGGTTTCCGGGACCCACTCGATCTTCTCCATTTCCAAATCCAACATTTCTTCTTCAGCATCGTCGTACTGAACCAAATGCTTGCCACTGTGCTTATTGAAGCACTTGACATAACCTTCGTACCAGTTGTCATCCAACGGCCAGTAAACCTTGATCCTCTTCCCGACAGCCTCGTGGCCGTTGGATTTTTTGGGGTTGGTCTTGGAGCTGGGCTTGGAATCGAGAGGCAAAGGGGTTGTGGGGCTAGGGCTATGACTGGGACCAGGATTCGAATTAGGGTTTAGGGTTTGTCTGGAAGAAATGGGGTTAGATTTAGGGTTTAGGGTTTGTTTGGAAGAAATGGGAGTAGATTTAGGGTTTTGGGTTTGCTTGGAAGAAATGGGGGTAGATTTAGGGTTTTGGGTTTGTTTGGAAGAAATTGGGGACGGAGTGGAAGTGGCTTTGGAGAAGAAGGAAGTGATTTGGCGCTGTGGGTTGACCAGTGGGGATTGGCCGTTGGTCCGACGACGCGACGCCGACATCGCCGTTTGTGAAGGTGTTAATTTAGCGAAGATGAAGAAGAAGAGAGACAAGCTTACTGAGGGGTGTGGAAATGTGGAATCGCTGGAACTGTGACTGAGAAGAAGACGGAAGAAGGAGGAGGAGAAGTTAGGAGATCGTCGAATAAAAGAGAGGAATGTTTTAATGTGGCGGGAAAATCAGCGAAAATTGCCCGGGAACTCTTACGGGGGTCGATGTTTTAAGGTGGCGGGAAAATCAGCGAAAATTGCCCGGGAACTCTCACTCTCTCTCCGTCAGAGCTTAACAGTATGTTCCTCGTCCTCCATTTTAATTCGGGAACTTTAGCGAAATGTTTGAATATTTTTCATTTTAACGAAAAACTACATTTTTATACTAAAAAATCAATCTTGTACTATTTAGCCCTATTCGGCTTAGCTTAACTTTAAAAAAAAATTGGCATGAAAAAAAGTTGGAGCATTTTAAGTGTTTGGTAAGCACTTTAAATCAGTTTTTTTTTTCAAAGTTATGGGTGAAAAAAAGCTGAAAACCAAAAGCTGGAAATAGCAGCTTCAACAAAACAGCTTATTTTGGTAAAACACGGATGAATAGTAAAAAATAAATGAACTTTTCAATTTTCCAATCCGACCCTTCCTTCTCTTTGGTGCCCTAATCTTCTACCTCTCTCTTGCATTAAATGAGACATTGTCGAACTTCTTCACCGAAAAAGCTGCAAGATTATGCAGGGGTTCCTTACAGTTTTAAATTTTCAAATAGAAATCAAATCGAGTTCGTAAAACCTCGAATTCGTCAAATTTAAGCATGCAACTCGCTAGTCTCTCACATCAGGAAACTAGAAAATGCAACAGAAGGTCACAGAGGTTTATAACTCGAATTCTAACTCAAATCCAATAGACAGAGCAAGGACATCCTACCTGAGATTGGAAGGGGTTGAGCCTAAGTTTGATACCAGTCGGATTTTGTCCTGATTCTTATGAGAGCTTAGGGATTTAAGTTCTCAGATTTTCTTAACCCCAACACCCAAAACATGATTCCCATAACCTAAACTTAGGGTTAAATTCGTTAGGGGTGGATATGATGATAATCTGGTGGTGAGATGGTCTGAAATCGAAGGTTTGTGTGTGGGTTGTCTCGGTGGAGGAGAGAGTGCAGATGGTGAAAGAGGGTTGAGAGTTTTCGAGAGAGTTCGGGAGTGTACATTGTAGAGGGAAAGGAAGACACAGGGAGAAGGGAAATGGGGTGTGGGCCCCATGGCCACACAAAATCCTCACATAAAAATAGTAATATTAAATAATAAAAAAATCATAATAGTAATATAGTAACATATAATACATAATAAAAAATCATATATTTAAAAAAAATTATAAAATTGAAATTTTAGGGACGGAATGTTTGTTATGAGATCTAAAGTTCAGGTGGTAAAATGTAATTTACCCTAATTAATATTTGAGATAAAATTTATAAATATTTTTTATTTTAAACATAAAGTATATTCAGTAATTCACCTTTATTTGTTAATTAAATTAATGGCACATCTAGTATTATATCATTTTTGGTCATTTCACACAGTCACAGTTGTTTTACATAAAAGTTTACCAAACACTATAATACTGCTTTTTTTTCCAAAAAGCACTTTTACAAAAAAGTTTACCAAACACTATGCTGCTTTATTTCATAGTTGCTTATTCTCACAGTACAGCAGAAGCAGTTTTTTTTCAAAGCACAGCAATACCAAACCAGCCCACTTTACCCTTTATTTTGTCTTTATCGTTAAAACTCAAAGTTTTCAAGCATTTTCATTAGTTTTTTTAATTTCCTTTTCGTTGCCTTCTCTTTCGCAGCTTTTAAATTGGGCGGGCATTATAAAATTAAATCGGGCCCAATAATCTACAAAGTCCTCATCCACGACCCAATACAATAACCAAAGAAATTTATCTGATTCCCCACCTGAATTTTTATGAGAGATTCAACTTACCATTTGAAAAAGAAAAAAACTTAAGCAATCTATCACCCGAATTAATAATTGATTACCCTTTTTAAGCTTTTGTGCGTGCAAATGGCTTTCTTTTATTCATGTGCACTATACATGACTTATATATATTTTTAGCCACATTGGAGTATTGTTAATTTTTATTGTGTTAAAAAATTAATCGGAAAACCAGTCCAAGAAGAAACAACCCTGAAAAGACTAATATAGCCATACAAACTTTATATAGTTCTACATAGAGTTGATGAGCATCACACTCTTCATTTAAGTGAAAAATTGGATTGAGTTATCAATGTGTGGTCAATTGCAACTCATTATTAAGTGTGAGTTGATGAATTTGATTTAATTTTTTTATTTTATATTTTGAGAACTTAGCCAAATGATCAATTACCATTATGTCATCGCTAATTGCTACGTTGTCACATTAGCTGGATAGTTGAGTAGAATTTTGTTCTATTCCACAATCGAAAATTTTAATGGGTTGGGCCTAATTTACTAATCAGTGGTTACGCCGCTACGCTCAATTAGGATTCAGCAGTTTTGTTGCTGGCCTGTTGCAACTACGAACTCTACATTTCCTTCCATTTTCTTCACCCATCTCTGAATCTCCATACTTGATAGCTGAAAATCTCAATCTACCAAAGACTACCAGAAAGTCCATTCATGGCTGCCCAATGTCCCTCTTTCTAATAAGATCATCCTCTTCCGCCCAAAGCCACCTCTTTTACCCTCAACCACACCCAGCAACACCGCTCTCAGATGTCTGCCTACGCCGCCACTTCACCATCGAGCTATGCTCTTTCTATCAAGGACGAGAAAGACGACGCCGCCGAGGGCAAGTCTGCCTTCCTAGTAGTAGCTCTCTGCCCCTACCTAGTTTTCTTCATTCTCCTCTTCATCGTTATCTCTATCATTCTCATTGTCAAATTCCATTTATTTTGCCATACCCCACTTCACTTTTTATTCTACAAGAAAAACTGCTAACTATACCTACTACAATCTCCAATTTCACAACTTCAATGGTTGGCATTGTATATTGTGATTGGATTATGGCGTTTCTAGTGCCACTGCTGATGGTTCGGATTCGGGTGTTGAAACTGATAGCGAGGATGAGGATAGGGAGAATGTTCATGCTAGTTCTAGTGCGGGCCCGTAAGAGGTCGACAGGGTATGCAAGGTGATCGACGAATTGTTTGCTTTAGATTAGAACATGGAGGCGGTTCTTGATGAATGCAGTATCCATTTGTCCAATGATTTGGTTGCGGCGGTGTTGAAACGCTTCCAGCACGCTAGAAAACCCGCCTTCAGTTTTTCTATTGGGCAGGGCAAAAGCCAGGGTTTTCCCATAATTCTAGGACTTGTAATTCAATTGTGAGCATTTTAGGAAAGACTAGGCAATTTGAGACCATGATGTCGCTGCTTGAAGAAATGGGAGCGAAAGAGTTTTTCACGAAGGAAACATTTGTGATTGCTTTTTAAAGCTTTTGCTGCTACCAAGGAGAGGAATGAAGTTGTTGGCATTTTTGAATTGATGAAGTACTACAAGTTCAAAGTTGGTGTCAATACCATTAATTGCTTGCTTGATACTTTTGGAAGGGCAAAGCTGGGAAAAGAAATGCAATTGCTTTTTGAGAAGTTGAAATGAAGGTTTACACCAAATTTACAAACTTATTCTGCACTGTTGTACGGGTGGTGCAGCTCAAAAAATTTAATGGAGGCAGGGAGTATTGGTAAATAATCTTTTCATTGATTGAAAATAATATTACAACATGTATATATACAACATAAAACAAATACCACATTCTAACTAACTAAAACCAACTATAACAAACTATATAATATCTAAGGAAGATCTTTTTACCTTTGCATTTACATTTGTACCCTCAATATCCCCCCTCAAACTGATCTGAGGTTAGCGAAGAGCAAGTTTGTTCCTAAGAAACATAAACCTTGACTTGGACAGAGCTTTAATGCAAATGTCAGCCACTTGATCCTGTGAACAAAAAAAATGCAGAGAAATCTCTTGTGCCAAAACTTTTTCACAAATGTAGTGATAGTCTATTTCAACATGCATAGTCCGAGCATGGAAAATAGGATTCTTGGCTAAAGAGATAGATAAGATGTTATCACACCACAACTTTGGATTACAAGGTGATTGAAAACCAATGTCAACAATGAGTTTGCAGATCCATGTGAATTCTACAGCAGTGTTAGCCAATGACCTATATTCAGCCTCTGTGGAGGATATTGCCACTGTAGATTGCTTCTTTGCACTCCAACTGATAATGAAGTTGCCCAAAAACACACAAAAACCACCAGTGGACTTTTTATCAAGAGCACAGCTTGCCCAATCAGCATCTCAGTAGGCATTGGTACTTGGTGTAAACGAACTCTTAGAAAACCAGATACCACAACCAATGGATCCTTTAAGATACCTCAGGATTCGCTTGACTGCTTAAATATGAGAAACTCTAAGGCAGTGCATAAACTAGCAAACAAGATTTACTGCAAATGAGAGATCTGGCCGAGTCCATGTAAGATATTGAAGTGCTCTAACAAGTGATCGATATTCAATAGGGTTATCCAAGAGTGGAGAAGTATGATCAAGCTTGGATGTGCTAAGTGGAGTAACACAAGGTTTTGCACCATCCATTTTGGCCTTGTGCAACAAATTCAGAATATATTTTGTTTGAGAAATGAAAATACCATTTGAGGATCGTTTAACTTCAATGCCAAGAAAGTAGTTTAAGGAACCAAGATCCTTGATTGGAAATAGAGCACTCAACTGGCCAATAACTTACTTGCAGGCTTGAAGAGAAGGACCAGTGACAAGGATGTCATCAACATAGACAATAATGAACACGAATTGAGGATCTTTCTTGATAAATAAGGAATGATCTAATTGTGAACCAACAAATCCCAAAGAAAGTAATGCATCATTCAACTTTTCATACCAAACTCTAGGAGCTTGTTTAAGTCTATACAAGGACTTATGTAATCTGCAGACATAATTAAGTTGTGTAAAGTCCTCAAAGCCAGGAGGTTGTTGTATGAATACAAATTTTCTGAGGTTACCATGTAGAAAAGCATTGCTCACATCAAGTTGGTTGAGAAACCAGTCACATTGAGTAGCCAAGGTGAGTAGAAGTCGAATTGTGACGGGTTTTGCAACTGGACTGAAAGTTTCACTATAGTCTAACCCATCTTGTTAATGAAATCCCTTTGCAACAAGCCGAGCCTTGTACCTGTCTATGGAACCATCAAACTTTCTCTTGATTTGAAACAACCACTTGCAGCTTACAAGATTCTGAGATGGAGAAGAGGGAACCAAGGAAAGTTCCAATGTTGAGAAGAGCATTGAACTTTTCTTGCATTGTTTTTCTCCAATAAGGATATTTGGATGCCTGATGATAGGTAGATGAAACATAATCAACATTGAGATGAGATGGGATTGGATGTTTAGTGGCATTTAAGGCTTTAGGCTTGAAGATATCAGATTTTGACTTGGTTTGCATTAGATTAATGTTGGTATTAGGATTTGTAGTATGAGAGGTTGAAATGGTTGAATTAGGTTGAGGCAGTGGTTGAGAGAAATGAGAAGTTGAAAGAGGATTTGGTGAATGGGAGATAGGAGATGAGTCCTAAGAATAAGGTGTTGTGTTTAATGTTTGTAGGTAAGGGGGAACTGAGGTGAATGTTATAATGGATGGGATAGTATGTGATGGTGATGAAGAGTGAATTTGGGAAGGAGATGAAATTGATAGGGATGATTTGTGAAAAGGAAAATTTCCCTCATAAAAAATAACATGCCTGGAAATGTAGATCCTATTGGAGATAGGATCCAGACACTTATACCTTTAGTGATTTAAACTGTAACCCAAGAAAACACAATGTTTGCTCTTTGGTTATAACTTGGATGTAGTGTAAGGTTTTAACCAAAGGAAGCAGCTACAACCAAAAACTTTGAGAAATGTATACTTTAGAGCTTTCTTGAATAAGGATTCCCAATGAGATTGTTTTGTGTCAGTGGACATTCTGTTGATAAGATAAATTGTTGTAGAGAAAACATGAACCCAATACTGATGTGGAACCTTTGAAACTGTCAATAAAGTTCTTGCAGTCTCAACAAGATGTTTGTGCTTGCGTTCAGCACACCCATTTGTTATGGAGTGTGAGGGCAGCTGAGTTGATGTGTAATAGCATAAGCAAGTAAGAACTGAAAGAACTTTGAACTCAAGAATTCACCACCAGAGTCTGAGCATATAGAAATAATCTTGGTTCCTAACTGATTTTCAACAAGAGCTTTGAATTGAACAAATGTAGAAAGTACATCAAACTTAAACTTCAAAGGATCAAACCACGAGTACTTGGTATAATCATCGACAAAGATCACATAGTATCTAAAACCATGTACAAAAGTGACAGAAGCTAGTCCCTAGACATCTGTGTGAAGAAGCTCTGATGGCTTGCTTGTTGTACAAGATACAATGACAAAATAAAGCTTAGAGCTTTTGCTTACATCACAATCTAAGCAGAAAGCTTTATTTATAGACACATAAATACATGAATTTGAGACCAATTTATTTAAGATTTTGATAGAAGGATGGCCAAGTCTTTGGTGCCAAAAATCTTTGGAAGCCTTTGTATCAGCAACAAAAGCTTTGTGATTACCAACAACAGAAGATGATGCATGAAATGGGTAGAATCCATCACGAACTGGTCCACTAAAAAACATCTTCCCCGAAGAAATATCATTCATAGTGAAGTGAAAGGGATAAGGATGCATAGAACACCAGTTGTTAAGAAGAAATTGGTTTGCAAAAAGCAAATTTTGCTTTAAATCAGGCACATGAATAACATTTTTCAACTGAAAACGATGAGTACTAGTATTTAAGATTGAAGAGCTAGAGTGAAAGATGGGCAAACCTTTGCCATCACCAATGTAGACCTGTTTCAGGACTATGATAAGCCTTAGGATTTTGAAGATTGATGTAGTTGTTGGTCATGTATGAACTGGCGCTAGAATCTACAAGCCAAGTAAGTGTAGAAGAAGTAGATCCAGTATTTGTAACCATAACAGAAAGAGATGAAGTGCTAGTGTAATTGGGATTCATTCTTTGTGGACAGTCAATTGCTTCATGATCATAATGGTAGCAGATTTGACAAGGAGTTTGTTTACCGGAGAAATTGGAGAAAGAACGACCACTAATAGGAAAACATGGATTATTCTACCGATAATTGTTACACTGTGAGTTTCCTCTGAAATTACCCTTGCCTTGATAATTTCTAGGGTTTGAAAAGTTGCCACGATATTGGGAGTAATTCTGAGAACGGCATTAAGAGAAATTATGTGAAGAAGTATTTTGAGCATTGTTAGTAATATTGGTGGTAGTTCAGGTAATGAGACACCTCGCAAGTAAAAAAATTCACCAACGCTGACTCAACAATATTTGTCTCATGTTGGCTCCACCACATCAAGAAACTCACAAATTCCAGGTCCTCTTAGTGATCAAACACAAGAGCATGCTAGCGATGCGAACGGGCCCTTGATTGGAAAGAAAATTTTGGTTGCTAATGACATTGAATTGAACCGCAAGCTAGCTCAGATTAATTTGACAAGGTTGGGTGCAACTGTGGAGCTTTGTGGAAATGGAAGAGAAGTTGTTGACCTCGTTCACGGTGCTCTAACTAATCAAGGAAAACATGGATTCGATTATATATTAATGGATTGTGAGGTAATTATTTCACTCTTCATGGTTGATCAATAATTAATGGTTTAATAATCCAATCATTTGGTGAAGTGATTTTTGCACTTCTCTTTCCCATGGATTTCAAATTGTATTCCCTATCGCCTTTTGTTTTGGATCAAAACTTAAAGTTGACGTGCTTTTTGGTTGGTGGCAGATGCTGGAAATGAATGGATACAAAGCAACAAGGCATACAAGTAGAGGGGAGGAGCCTTATAATCTTCACATTCCGATCATTGCATTGACTGGTCACGCATCGGGAGAGGAAAGAAGGCGGAGGATGGAGGCCGGCATGGACGATCATTTGAGCAAACTGTTTAAAAGGGAACAATTGCTTGAAATAACGAAATGCATTGATGATAAAAACAAATTGAAAGACAAATGTTAAAGAGAGTATAGAGAGGAATATGATGTCATATGAGCTCACTGTTTTTAAATGTGAGCGTCCAATGTGATACAAACAATCTGTTGGATTGAAATCAAAGATCTATATATGATCAAGCATTTAGTTAATATAAATTTGAATGTTATGATCAATTTTTCCTTTTCTTCCGCTATCTTTCTTCTTCTTCTTTTTCCTCTTCTTGTTCAAAAGTAAAAATTTGGATCAAATTTTGCTTATATGTGGAGTTTGCCAATCAGAATTCTTTTTGTTCGGATACATACTCTTTGAATCTCTCAACTACAACATGAACAAGGAATACAAAATATAGAAGAATACAGAGGTATGTTGTACTCTCTTCGTCCTTTTTCTTGTGAGAAAAACAAGGCTACCTGCCGTAAGACATCTCACAAAAACAAAGAATCTCAAAAACTTTGATTACACTGACCCGAACCCATGCTACCCCAATCAAGCAGCCATATGGAATTAAGGTTGTCTTCCATGAGAGTTGAACATTAACTGGTCACTATTCTGTTGGCTTCCGCTTTCCGAAAGAAAATAAAAAAGATTGTGGGTGGGTGATATTTTCCGTCTTCATAAATCGGTATAAGGGTATTTACGTAAAATGAAATATTTTTGAAAAAGTGAAAGGAAGGGGAAATTAGTGGCAGTCGACTGGGTCAGTGGTGGAATTTTACGAATAGGGCTCGCAGAGGGAGAGAAAAGCTTCACAGTTGACTTCCGGTCGCCGTCGATCTATTCTCCGGTAAATAGCTTGGAATCTCAAATTTAAAAGTCTCTCTCTGCCATACTATGTGTGTGTGTGTGTGTGTGTGTGTGTATTAGCTCATATTGCATTCAGTGGAATACCCGCGCAAAACCCAATAGCCGCGGATTTGGAAACCTTGACGGATTTGGAATTCGACTGCAGATGTCAAAGTTTCCAAATCCATGGAGTGAAACTGTCTTATGAATTTCGTTGGAGCAGAGCAATCAATTGTTCTGAAAATTTTCTTGTAATATCTTCACTGCTAGTGCTAGCTTGGTTTTAACTTGTGAGCTTTGAGAAAAGGGCAAGAATTGGAATGTGATTTTACGCTTTTTAGTTGGGAAATTAGTTTGATATATGGATAGGGTACAGACTAATGGATATGGATATGGAACACTATTCGATTAGTCCGTAATCAGCATGTTAATATTATAGTTTGTTTAGTTTTTCTTTTGGATCCCCACCGAAAGAACACAAGAAAGTTTTTGAGTCAGGTTTTTACCCGAAACGAGGATTTCAATGGGTCAGTAATCAGTATGTTAATACCGTCTTTCACCTTTTCATTGTTTGTAGATGGTGCACTTGTAAAGTTGTAATCGTGCAAAGTAGAATCATTCTCTCTGGTTTGAATTTATCCTCCTATTGTTGATGTCTGTCTTCATTCATGTAGCGCGAGATGACTGCAATTGTAACTGTTTAAAGCTACTAGTTGAAGCATAGTAAGAACCATAAGTGACCTTTTGTCATCTGGTTTGTCAACAAGATTTCAGAACCTTTTTTGTCGTGCATGTTTCATGTCTCTTTCAAAATACAGCCATCATCTTTGACGAAGCAATTAACCAGCTATAAAGAAACTTTGGATATAGGACCATAAGAGAACTCGTTCTGTCAATGCCTTTCCACTGTCATTGGTTAAAACTTTAAAGCTAATTGTTTCCTTGTTGGGATCAATCGTTCGACAGTATCATGGATGCTCAAATTCAAGAAGCAGTCCCTTGTAGGCCTTGTATTAAGGTGGAATTTCAGCTCGGTTCAGAAACATATTCTGTCAAGGAGCACAAGGGCATTCTTTCGGAGCAACTGGTTTCTGTGAAAGAAGAAAGCATGAGAATATTGAAGGACTTCATCACCAGACACAATGTTCCTAATGATGTCCCTGATGAACTTGTTGAAAACTCTTCGGAAGACGATGGCGAGATCCTTGAAAAGCCTCCTGTAAAGTCAAAGAAGACAAAGTTTACTTGATTACCTCTGTATTTCTGGGTTTGAACTTTAAAACTGTTTGTGATTGAGGTGCTCCTTTTGATGTCTTAGATAAACTGTTTTGAACTAGATTTGGAAGTACCTAGCTTTAGCTACCTTTGTAGTACCGAAGTTGTTATGTTTTGACATGCATTGTGTTGTATCATATAGGTTTCTCTATCAACTTTTGAAACCAGTCCATGCAATTATTTTTTTCCGTTGCCAAAACTTAGTGTTGGTCGCACACGCGCACATGGACTGATCTTTGTCATTCATACTTGTTAAGATCACAAAGCTTTGTATCGTTATCGGTTAATCTTTATATCTTTTCGTTGCAATTTGAACTTTCGTGTCAAATGAGCGTATGGAAGGTGGACCAGATGTATCTGCATTTCATTTGGCGTACCACCAATATGTTCCGTTCAAACAACTTGTTTGGGTCGGAAATTCTGAAAAGGAACTTGAACAAGCAATAAAAAGAATGCAAATGTCTGTCGTTACCGTCTTTTTACTTGTGGAGATGCATCGCAGTGGTAGACGATTGAATCCAATTAAATTAATTGATGATTCCAATAATGCAAACAGCTTATGGCTTACAATGCTGAACATACAACCGATTCAAAATGGTGCGGGATTTTGTAGTGATTCGTAAAATCGATTAAAAACCGTGAAATCTCATGTCTGCATTCTCTCACTTAAGATGCATCATTCACATACATTGGAAAGGAACCTTTGAGAACCATCGGACATCCGACATATAATCTCAAGCTAAATCATCACGTATCCCCTCTAAGAAAACACTAAATAAAACAAGAGAAAGACTTTGATGCAACCTAACAAAATTGGGTTGAGTAAAATGTATAATAATCTTGTAAGAAATCCTAAGATCAGGAGAAGTGTATACCATCCTTGTTGAACTGGGAAAGTAGGTCTAAAAATTGCTGTAATTTGAGCTTGGAGGACCTTTCGCCTTCAAAACCAGACTTCTTCAACACATCCAGCACCTTTTTCTTGAATTCGGATACCTCCCCTTCCGCATTACCATCCTCCACCTCCATCTCCATCCCATCATCGAGTCCATCATCATCCATCTCCATGTCCTCATCCATAAACTCCATCACATCATTAGTATCCTCTTCTTGGGCTGTTGCAGGATTAAGCGCCTGTAGGGTCTTGTAATTCTTCTCGAGCAGATTGATGACACTTTTCTGCCTAAAAATTGAGCCAAGGGTTTTGTTTTTCCTATTGAAACAGATCCGCAAAAAGCCGTCCCACTCCTTCTGGTTCACTTGTAAAGCCGGTTTCCTGGGCTCGATTCGAACGACAGAGGAATCCACCTTAGGCGGGGGGCGAAAATTGTTCCTACCAACTTTGAGGAGGTGAGATACCCGAGACAAGAGTTGGGTGTTGACGGTAAGACGACAATAGAGCTTGTCACCGGGCTGTGCAACCAGTCTCATCGCAAATTCCCTCTGAAACATTATAATGGCACATCGGAAAGCAGGTTGATGCTTCAATAACTTGAAGGTCAAGGGAGAAGAGATTTGATAAGGGATGTTTGCCACACATATATCGAAATAGGGAAGCTCAGTCTTCAGCACATCTCCTTGAATCACCTGTGCACAGAACCACAAGCAAACCCCTATCTTTCTTCAATTCAGAATCCCCAAAACGCATCAAACATATTTCTGTATAATCATACAACATAATTTCTTAAATTAATCACAACAGTACTTAAGAAAATCTTCTGGCAAATATAATTATCATTTCGGAACAGAACTTGATGCAAATCCCCCAAACACACATCACACCCAACAAATCAACCAGAACAGAATTTGAGAACTTATTTCTTAATTATCGATTCATAGTCATGGAATCACTAACTGAAATTACCCAATAATGGATTTTCTAATTAAAAAAAAAGGCTCGGTAAATGAAATTTAAAATAAAAAATAAGAAGAAGCGGTACCTGCAAGCGGTTGGAGTGAGGGGTGCCCTGGAAGCGGCGCTGCAGCTCGAGGACCATGCGAGCGTCAATCTCGACGGCGATGACCCTCTTACCAGCTTCTAGAAGCTTCTTGGTGAGATTACCAGTACCGGGACCGATCTCAAGGATGACATCCGTGGATTTGATGCCAGACTTCTGGACGATGGAGTCGACGAGCAAGGGGTTCTTGAGGATGTGCTGTCCCTTGGACTTGTGGAACGATATGCCTCCTTGGTAGGGGGTGTGCCCGGCTGGCCTCGCCTTCTCTTTCTTCGTTTTGCCTCCCGCCATCGATGCCAATTGACAAGCTTTAGTCACAGAGTTTCAGAGAAGGGTTTAGGGTTTTGTTCGCGGGTGGAAGGGGAGAAAAGTGTGGAAAATAAGACAGTGGCGCCACGCTTAAAATGGGAATGACACGAAAAATAGCTCGAATGACATGAAAATCGTTTCCAATTGAGTACTAGGCCAAGGTTTGTGGGCCTTAACGGGCCTAAATCCCCAAATCAGGCTAGCGGGCTGGCTATTTTCAGCCCTTCAACGCCAGAATGTCACGCTTGACATTTTGCTAGCCCTCCAGCTCTAGAACGTCAAGCTTGACATTTTGCCAGCCCTCAAACTCGGCCCATTTGAATGTCAATGGCTACCTGGCATCAGCATGACGTTAGCTAGCAGCTGTCAGGTTACTGTTGGAATTTGAAATTTTTTTTGGACGAATTATAAAAAAAAATTCTAATTTTTCTTCTTCTTATAAATACCTACGTCATTCCTACAACATTGTAAACTAAATATAAGAAGTGTCACATAGATAAAAATTCTATCTAAAATTTGCACAACTAATTATATCTTGACACATGGCACTCAAAATCCTATCAGAAAAATTATTAAGATTACATAAAGATAAGAAATTTGAAGAGTCACTCACTTTAGCAACAATTGTCACTCGAAATTATATTCGAAAAATTATTGAGATTATATAAAGATAAGAAATTTGGAGAGTTAATCATGTTAGCAACACATGTTACTCGAAATCCTATCAAAAAAAATTATTGAGATTATATAAAGATAAGAAATCTGAAGGCTTATTCATTTGACGACAAGTGACACTCAAAATATATTTGAAAACCTTATTTTAATATGGTAGTTTAATTTAATTAAAATAATAAATTATATTAGACCTATGATCCTTTGGCCCCGTCGGTTGAAGATAGTCTTTTGTTAAAGGGCTATGTTTGGCCTATGACCAGTTGGCTTCCTCGGTTGGAGATGGTATAAAATATGACCAAACACTATTCATTAAAATATAATTTCTTAATATGGCATAGCACTATTCATTAAACTATAATTTCTTGCAGTGTTATAGGGCTAACGAGAGCCATTTGGCCCTCCTTCGGTTGGAGATGATCTAAGATTTTTGCAGAAATTTTAGTTTTAGACAAGGATATATAGATGTATTATGGTTTTTTATTTTATTTTTTATTTCATAATTATATCAAGGGATACATTATGGTTTATTTCTATCTAAATATTATCTATAATAAATAATTAAATCGAAGTTTGTTTAATCCAAACAACAATAAAAAAATCTTATTCTGCTAAGTAGGGTCAACTGGATAAATCTTACAACGTCATTGCGCTCAATTTTGTCACGCCTCCCGTTAGCTTCAAGTACTAGTTCTTTTAATTCATATCAATTTAAATACTATCTAGAAAATACTAAGAATTTAGATTTTTAATCAAAATATTTATCATGCCAGGTGTAAAATAAAAATGATATCAAATGAGGGCATTGTTTGACAGAAGAACATTTTCCTATGTGCAGAATTCTCCTATTTTCTCTGTGGTTCTAACTTGTAATAGTAAAATTCCAAACAGCTGACATGCTATCTTGCCCATATGAGGCTAATCATACTTGTCATCTTGAAGGAGTTTATACAACAAATTATCTCCTTCGGCCTGTGGTTTTCACTCCCCTTTTGGAAGGACTGCTTTACCTAAAAAGGAAACAACCGGGCCTAAAGCCGGGAAATACAAATTTGAAAAGTGAGAGCAGTATACCGGAGTAAGGAAGACGGTTACATCTTCACTGCCCAAAACCTCTACAACTTCGACAGTTTCTTCTTAAACCTTTTCGAGATGTGCTTAATCCGGGCTTGCAATTCATTTCTCTTGAAGTAATGCTGGGCATTTGACATCATAACCATTATATCATGCTTCACAGCTTCCAAGCTTCTATAATAGTCGTTCTCTAACCTCGACTGGATTAGTTCAGGGTACAATTGCACAGGAAAGCTGCAAAATATCCACAAACCAAGACATCATTATTTTCTCAAATCTTAGTTTCAGCCAAGATCGATGATAGGCAAGCGTATATGTTGCGACCTTCCGCACATTCTTTCTACTTTATCAGAACTGAAATGGTTAAACCATATAATAGTGTTTCTCTACCTGTTGCAGAAATCCGCCTTCTGAACAGCTTGATTCAATTGTTGGATTGTTTGCAAGTCCTGCACCATTCACAGCATAATTAATTAATATCCTTGATGATAGAAAACAGTTTCAGAATGATTAAGTCTTTCCTAATGATAATTGGAGCTTTGAATTCCAATTCCCACAATATAACAAGACAGGTACAGGAAGTATTTGCACAAACCTTCTGTTGTAATTTAGAAAAAATACGCAGAAGCTTCTCTTTGCTTTCATAATCAATATGGGGCTGTTCGCATGAGGATGGATCATCTACTATGGACGGTTCACGCAATTCCCAGGGACAATGCAAATGGGTTTCATCATCATTCTCATACCGAACCTCATATCTTAACCAAGGGCTATCGGGAAACTCATGTGACTTGGCCTGGCACCGAACAATTCGACCTACCCACCAAGTCCCACCTTCATCTGAAATTGAATCCCTCCACCAAACTGCGCATTCCTCCCCAGTGGTCCAGTTTCTTCTAATAGAAGCATCATACCACGTTTTCTCAACAATGAAATCATTAAAATCAATTTCAGGCAAAGTCAACTTCAATGCTTTACTGAGGATAGCAGAAGAAGGGTCTACAAATCTAAGTTTGATTTTACAGCAACTCTCCCCCGAACCAGGCAGCGAAGCATAATCGAGGCTTTCAACCTTGCAAATTTCCGCAACTTCGATGTTTTCCTTAATTGATTCCCAAGGACCCCAAGGACCCTCCTCTGAATTCTTGACTAGTTTTAGATACTCTTGATGGCCCTAACAATCACAAGCCCAAACATTAATTATCAAACAGTAAATTCTAAAGCATAAGTAATAACCAAAGGACCAGAAACCATGAATCATAGATATTAGAAATCACCTGTCTCAGGTATACAACTTCATCACCTAGCTGAGGAATATAACGGTAACCATCCTCATGTTTTGACAACATCAACCATGGCAACTTTCCAGCGGGGTTAACTAACATGCTTCGGGTTGAAGAACTTTGGTCATAGTCATTACATGAACCCTGACGACTTCTCGTAGACCTTGGTCTTTGATGAATCTGGTCACACAATTTGGCAGAGGAGTCTTCTGCATCCTTTGATGTCCCCAATGTTTGATGGCCCCACCTCAACTTAGGGCTACAGCTCACAGAGTCCACCTTCTGTGAAGTTGTTTTGATCTTAAAGGTTCTTGTTCCACATATTGCATTGGTTGCAGCTGCGGGGAGATCCATTCCTGAATCATGATGGTCGTTGATATTTGTTGCATAATCTTCGACATTACCACCAGAACCTTCTGAATTAGTCCTGTGCTTGCAAACAAACTTCAAAGAAGTTGATCTGCCAGCACCTCCACCCACCTTCCGTACCCCAAAATTTGAATTTGGAATCAGATCCATGCTTGAAGAATCGTTGGGGATTGAATCTCTAGAACTTGTGAAGTTTTGTGCAGGAAATTTAGGAGAAGCATAATCACCAGAGTGCTTTCTTCTAGCAAAGTCCTCTATCTCCGGAGAACACACAATTATCTTTTGTTTGTGCTCGCCCAAAGCTGAGGAATCAAATGATGAAGATACAAGGGCCTCGTCAGTATGAGAAAGCTCTCTACTTTTGAGACCATCCAGATCCTCAAATGCACGTGTTCCAGTATGTTCCTCATCCCTGCAAGGCAAGACACCTTCATAATTTTCCTTTCCCTTCATTTTTGAATGATTACAAAATTGTTCACAATTACTCTCAGGATTAACATACCGATGGACATTATTCATCTCTTCTATATGGACATTAAAACTAGCAAGCGACCCAGTAGCTGCTTCCATGACTCTGCTATCCTGGTAACTTGCGGATGCTTCCAAAGAATTATCTGTCTTTACGGTTTCCCCAGTATCTGTCAAATCATTGGCTAAGAGATTTCTTGAAAACTTTAGGTCAACCACATCCACCGAAGAGGAATCTGGATCCACAGAGCTGTTAGTAATCCTGTTATCTGGAGTGACATCTTGATATCTAGAAGATGGAGACACCAAATCAGCCTGATTATTATCTTTGAGTTTTACATCCTTTGGAGCCTCTTGCTTCTTAATCTTAAAAACCAATTTCGGCATGCTTCTGACATTTGACTGAGACGAACAAACTACACGTGGCTTCGCTATATTGCCAAACTCATGTCGAGATGGTTCTTCTTTAGTACGGTTTTGTTGCATTATCTGGAAGTCTCCATCATCGCTTTGAGTGTGGAAATCTTGCTGAAGAGACTCACTATTCGATGAATCATCTTCCCAATCATCTTCTTCTCCTTCTGTAGATGTACCAGGGTTCTGAGAAAACACAGTTCGAGCATTGCGTGCTGCTACTCGCTGGGGTCTCAATGTCTTTGCTTTAGAAGACTTCCTCTTTGAAACTTTCTGGCCACCTTTTGAATTTTTAGTTCTTTTAATCCCAGATATAACGCGATCATGCTCACCCACTCTCCTTTTCTTAACACGCCTCTCAGAAGACTCAACCTAAAGATCATTAAAAGTCAATCAATGTAGGTCGAACAAAACAAAAACTGGTATAGAATCTAAAGATAGAGAGAGCATTTTTACCCTTGGTCTTTTTCTCCTTGATCGACGAAGACCATCCTTGTGACTGCATCCAGCTTCACTGTCTTCTTCGCTGCAGTCTGGATCACTAGAAGAACTGGTGCTAATATTTCCTTTCTCCCCTTCACTGGAATTTTCATCAGTAACATTATACTCTGAATCAGTATCTTCACTTACAACCTCATTTTCTGGTTCCCATAACATGGCATCAATAAAATCTGGTAGTGGTTCAATCATTCTTTCTAAATCTGGCAAAGGAGGCATCATATATTCTTGGCCTGTATTGATATCCACACCAACAGAAAATTTCATGGATGACGGACGCCATTCCATGCCCAGAGCACCAAGTCTTCGTTGCTGGTATGTACTCTGATAAGGTTCGGGGTATGGTATCATACCTATCGTTTCCAATCAATATATATGATTATGAGAAAATATTATGAATACTAATAATAAATTAAGAACCCACCCAGTAGGAGCCAAAACATACTTGAATCACATAGAGGATCTTGAAGATTCCTTCGGTAAGTGGAAAGTTGTGTCTCCTGCAACATGGATAATATGTTCCAAAATAAAAGATATATCAATTCAATTTCTTAATGTGCAAGTTGATGCTAAATGCAGACATGGAATAAAATTCACTGCAGAACAATTTAGAAATGACAAGTGGGTAGTGAGAAGATTTAACCTGATCAATAAGATATCCAAACTCATCTCGTGCAAGGGGGCGATAATCCCCAAGGAAGAACTGTAGAAGAATCATGCAAACAGCCATCATAAAGGAAATTCATAACTTCAACTTGGAATCAAATAGAGGGAAGGACAAACCTACAAAACAAATTCGTACAACACCTGATCATATTCAGCATCTTTTTGAGACTCGCCTTCACCTGTGTTTATTAAATATATTTGGCCAACGTCATCTGAAAGTACTATTGATGTACCATCCCTATGTAACAAAGAGAGAATGTCTCCAATATTAGCAGAAAAAGGTTAAGCATTTTAGTGTAATTAATTCAATATCCATGAAACAAAAATGATGGTAGTAAACATAAATCCATCTTGCTGAAAAAGGGAAGAAGAGAAGGGTGAGATATTGAAGAGCTATGAGGTAGTATCAAGGCAATTAGCTTATGTCTCCTTACATAAGTAGACCTCCACAAAGAGTAATAAGGTTGAAATTTTCAGTTTAACTATAAAATGAGAAAACAAAATTCAACATAATTAGCTATTGTACAGCTCACTTACGCCGAAAACTTCCCATCAACCAACTTTACATGTCCAAGTTCGTATATCTTAATAGGCACGCCCTCCCATATCTAGAAACACAAAAAGAAACAACTTATGAAACAATCAGCATTAGGAGCGCAATGCAACAGAAATGAGAACTTGACAAAGTTAGGGGATTAAGCTGAAACTCACATCCCAAACTATTGTTTGCCCATCATACCCAGCACTCATAGCAATTCGAGGATTGAAGGGATGAACATCCAAAACATAAGACTGCCAAGAGTTTGACAGACAAGTACCACCAGATCAATAGATTGAAAAAAATCAAATCCAATTGAAAAGCTATTTCTTGGTGCAGAGATGAAGAATTGGATAAAGAAAAAATCCTAGATGGTGTATCTGAATCAACAGATTATAGGCATTACGATCATCAACATCTCGATTTGTTATGATATCAGACCCTACTTACCGATGCAGTGTGACCGGTTAAAGAATGTACTAAGCTGCCATCAACAGCATTCCAAACACAAATTCTGCAATCTGCATAATCATTACACTTATTAAAGAGTAAAATCGAGGTTTGTTTACCCTAGTACTTGAAGCGGGATTAAATAAAATATAATAAATATTACAAAAATGAAAAAAGACATGACAGTCTGTAACTTGATGGATGCGGTGGCCCAAGCCAGAGCATATGGTAGTTGGAATTAGGTGCTTCCTAAAAAAATATAGTAAAGGTATGCCAGGAAAATCTTATGTCCATAAAAATGGCATTATATATGTATAAATCATGGTAAGTATTCTACCCATGATAGCTGCAAGCACAAAGCGGTTATCCAGGCTCCACACAATCATGTTAACACCACGAGGGGTGGGAAGAAATCTTTGACGTGGGCCTCCTCGAGGAGGCTGAGGAGGCAGTGGGGGAGGTGGAACTTTTAGATGATATGCACGTGTCCAACGTCCAACTTTCCCCTAAAGTGAAGAGAGAATTATTTTTAAAAAATGACCTAGAAATCAGTTGTCATGTACTCATTCACATCAAATTAGACTCGACAAAAATGTAAGTAAAAATACTCATTCAAAGCAGCTCACATGGAATTTGTGTGATCTTGGAACCCATATAATGGCACTGCCATCACGAGAGCAGGTAACTATGTTGTTGTGACAAAACCTGAGAATTCAAAGATTCTCTTAGCACATTCAACCAAAAAGGAATATCATGCAGATACTACACAAGACAGCATAAGCACAATGCAGAAAATATCAAAGAAAAATCAGTTCAGACATATACCAGGAATTTTTGAACTTCCCATTAGTCTCCTCCTTGACCGAGTCCGAAAATGAAGACTTTGAAGGAATGACACAACCACTGCATAGGAAAGCAGAAAAGATTACATGAAAAAGTTTGAAAAAAATGAGAAGAAAAATTTCTAATAACAACAATCAACAAAAATCTGTTGTCAGAAAGAACCTGAGAGAAACAAAAGAAAACAAGAAATTTCAAATGAAACTTCACAAGACATTTATTTATTCAATTATCTATGTGGAGTTTAGGAGCAATGTAGGTCTATGTGGTTTAAGCAAATATAGTGTGCACTGTCGGACACTGCCACCCAAAGCTGGTGGCTGCGAGCAAATATTGCCACATTGCCACAGAACCAAGTGACAGCTTATAGGTCACAGTGCCTCTATTAGGAACCTCCGTTCCATCTATCAAAACATCTCACGTATAGAGGTGAGCTTATTCAGCCAAGCTTACTATTCTCCTTAAAATTACCAATTTGGTAAAGTTTGGTGCTCTTTTTATGTGTTCTAGTTCCGCATGCGGTGAGCTTTGGATTTGTAATACACTGGGACATTGGAAAATTTGAGAAAACTGATTTAAACCAAATTTCAGCCAATTTCTGGAAATTTCCAACACTTTCAGAGAAACAATGCAGGAAATATTTTATCAAAAACTAAACCAAGATGTTGGCAAAATGGCATAATTTCATCTTTCTCCAGCAAAATAGAAATATCAGAAAGATGTGACCTACATTTATTTCTAAGACATTGGGACAACAAACCTGAATTGGACATAATTCACGTCATTCTCGTGGCCCGCCAGTACATCCATCTCATGTATTGGTTGTTCTGAGTTATCTGTATTAGATTTTAAAGCATTCCAGACCTGCGAGTACTTTGGTTTTGGTAAAATATCCAACTTCACATGTGACAAAAGTCAACCAATGCAAGCAAATCAAAAGGCAGCTGTGCACTAATCATATGAACTAATGTAAAAATTTCATGGTTAAAAATACCCTTGCAAAAGTGTCAGAGCTACCAGTGACAAAAACAGTCCCATTGGCATTGTAAGCGCAACAAAGTATTTGATGGCTCTGTGGACCATTGCTCGAGGAGGATCCAGTGATTGCAAAAGCATTGCCCTTCCCTGCAAGTAAACATCACTTCATGTAAGTCCCATCACCCAAATAAGGCCACAGTGTCAGAAGCATTATCTAACCAGTTGAAGTCTCTGAAGGTTTTGGCATGTATATTCGCAGCGGGCATTGGGAGGACCTAGCATCCCAGATTCGACAAGTCCCATCATCTGATGACCTACAAATGTCATTAACTCAGGATACCACCAGGGAAAAGGGAAAAAAACTCAAAGAGCAATAACTCCAAGAATTGAACTTACGATAGAAGTTGGTAAACAGCACTAAGCCTGGGACTAAAAGCAATAGCAGTCACAGCCCCAGTATGCCCCTGAAGAACTGAAATTGGAAATCCATCTGGCAAACGCCACTGCAGGTAAAATAACTATTCACTGGCTGGTACATAAGAAAAGAAGCCAAACTGACATGTTAAATGGTAGGGTATACATACAACTCGAATGGAAAAGTCATTTGAAGCAGATGCCACCAAAGCATTGTTTGAACTTACAGCCAAGTCAGTAATGTCTCCCTTTGATTCATAGAACAAGAAAAGTAGATCATATAATACAGTATAACAAATGAAGCCCCCAAACAGGGAGGGAGGGGGGGTGTTTGGGGGATAGAGGGTGAGAGAAAGAAAGAGTTTGTAGATTATTAAGTCAACAATCTTAACTCACTTCATGTCCACGACAGCTAGCCAAGCAAAGTGCAGTTTCCATTGACCATATCTTCACAAGCCGATCATCTGCACCCGTGATAACATATCTCCCAGACCGATCAAAAATGGCTACATGATAAAAGTATCGGTCATATTTTTTGCAAAAAGTCCATAGTAATACAAATTCCCAAATTCATATACAAAGTGCAACATGTAAATGTAATTATGTATTATCTGTGTTTATTATTATTTATCCTTATCCCATACAATGTTGACTTCCATGAAAACAAATATTAATTTAGCATGCCCTTAAGAAATCAAACACCCAGAAAATAAATTGTTTCATCCAATTCTAGTTAAGAAGTGAGCCATACCACAGCAGACAGCATTATGATGCCCCCAGAAAATAAATTGTTTAATTCAATTCTGGTTAAGAAGTGAGCCATACCACAGTAGACAGCATTACGGTGCCCCCGTAGCTTCTTTTTGTTGTTCATCTTCTGCACCATAGTTGATGGTTTAGCAATCGCATAACACGCAGAGCGAATGGATGGAGCTCGATGATGCTTTGTGAAACCTCCTCCAATTTCCCTTAAACTAAGCCCATGAATTTGATCAGCCTGCATGTAAGGCCAACGCAGGTGAGCTGGCAGGGGCTTAACTCTCTTATTTTCCTTATTCCTATCACCTGTGAAAAAAGGAAGTAAAAATTGCTGAAATAAGTAACATATGAAGAAACCTAATGTCTGGAAACTGAAAAGATACATGGTAGTGAAAAAGAAAAGGTCATGAAGCAGCCTACAAATTTATCTACCTAAGTGAGGGTTCTACTGTGGTAAAAGACCCAAAAAAGTATTTGAGCCAAACGTAAGCAGTTACATGCATAGGATAACCAAGCAGCATATTATTAGGTATGATCCACATTCCTTTGAGCAGGAAAGACAGAACTTTCAAAGATGCAGTAGGTTAAGAGGGGTCTTATAGGTGTTACACAAACATAACATGTTAAATAACTGTTATGTCCCAGGCAGTCATAGAAAAGGTACAGCAGAAATCTCTATCGAAGTTGTCATATTTATCTACAGCAGAGTAGTTGAATGTTTATATTTCTTAAAAGGACATCATGAGGAAGGATATTTACCACTGTAAATCAAGACAATGTACAGATGACCAAAGATTTGTATAGCAGAGATTTCATCCTCTAAACAATCATACTGCCATAATTATGCATTACTCATCTTTTCAAGTAATTTATTAGGACAGAAGATTTCAATAAAGAAATGGTTTTATTCCAAGTACACTTTTTCCAATATATCCACATGCAGAAAAAAAACCAATCGAGAATCAGAGATATATAAAATATGAAACTTAAAATATCACATACTATCCAGAAGCGAGAAGGAACCAGTTCCCAGTAATGTAGGGACATCAGCTGCATTCAGAGTACTTCTTCCAACCTTGCCATGTAAAGGAGTGGCTATACTCAGTAGCAGTTGCCTTAGAAGCTTTACCAAGTGATCTCTCTCTATATGAGGATACCTATACATCATACAGAAGCTAATCACTAGAAACCCAGCATAGGAAATAAAATGACTAGGCCAAAGTATACAGTATAGAAAGAAATCAAAGGAATGCAATAAGAAAACCCGTGCACCCTGATAATTTTTTCCAACATGTAGAATTCAGGTTAATGCTCAGTTCTTCTGTTCAGATACCATAGAACTTGTTTGTTTACCACTACTGCCAAAAGTTTAAGCAACTATTTCGTATTCTAACACAACCCGGTACATTTCCTCTTTTACGTCCCAATTGTCTGTTCGACTGGACATGGATTGAGGACCAAAGTTTAGGGTTAGGGCACCAATACCAGACAAGGGACGTCGGCATGTAATGTGAGGCTTGGGTGTGCGTTTTGTTACATGTGTTACACATTTATTAAGTGACTACTGTTAAAACTTAAAACATATATCTTCTGTAATAAGAGGACACTGGACGCATTACATAACACCAATTCTAACAAGAACAAAATCTATGCTTGGCATTGAGCTCTTCATATGAGTGTTGGACAAACTAAGGAAAATATGTACCTTTCAACCAAGTTGTTGTAACTCAATGGGAAAGAGGTAGCATCCTCATTACTATTGTCACTTCCTATTCTGCTCCTTGAAAACCAAGCATGAAACCTTCTAGGTAGAAGCTGATGTTCCAGAAGATCATTCCCAAACTGTTCGAAAGTCCTCTGGCATGGCCCAAGAGACAGAAAATGCATAATCAAAAAATAAACCTCTCTAATGTCTATATCGACTCCAGCCTCGACAACATGACCTGCATCCCTCTCTTCTTTCTCAAACTGAGCCTTCTCATTTAACCTATTCAAAATGCTTGGAGGTGCCATAGCAAGAGAAGTTGCACCACCAGACAAAGTACACTTCCGAGGATCCATTATTTGAGTACAACCTGAAACATTAAAAACCAACCATTAAACAAAGTTGACGAATATGAATGGCATCTGCGGACTATCTGAAAGATTCTAAATATATTCCACAAAAAAGAACAGAAAGCTAGCAACCCAGAAAAACTTTCCCAACCTAGGTATATGATCAAATGATATCTGCCTAAAATATCAGCAAAATTCTTGAACGGTGAAAGCATAATACCTAGTCAGTGTGGAACGAAATGAAGCATTATATATCCATAAAATTAATTAACTCTGCTGGTCAATGTGACTGAATATTGAAACACATTATTGGGAACAGATTTATTACCAGGGGTAAGAAAATACAGAGTGCCAGACAGAGCAATTACCCAGATCTGAACAAAGGTAGTTATTATGAATAAATGCTACAAATTCACTCCATAATATTTCCATATTACTGAAGTTGTACGTTTTGTACCATACAAAACATCAAGTGTGGTGAATGATATATAGGTAGCCTACAGAAGCCATATAACACCTAGAGAATTTTCTTTTTGTTTTCTTAGTAAATTACTAAGTAGACCACCAGCTATTGAACTGACCTTTACCGTTGTTCCCAAGGGGAGGTTGTGCCACTAGGCCCAAAAGCTGTTGGAAACTAGAGCAACTTTAATGTTGTTATTTACTCCCATAGTCTACGAAATCCTCAAAAAGGAAATGCAAGTGTGGGGTGCAATTTTTGTCCCTTTCACTCAACTTATTGCAAACCAAGCTAACCCTTAATGGGGAAGCGGAAACCCTTTTATTTTCTTCCTATAGCAAGGCAAAAAGGTTTGGCGTTAATTATAGAGTTGCTCCATTATGAACCAAATATCGGGTTCGAAAGGGAAATAACCTCTCTACAAAAGGGGTAAGGCTATGTATATGCTAGACATAACCCTCTCCAGGCCCCAGAATGAGAGGAATCTCATGCATTGGTTTTCCCTTTTATTCATTTTTACTGCTAAGCAGCTATGAATATGAGTCATTACTTTTCTAAAAGTTCAAGCAACATTTTTGGTGAGTTAGAAACCATGACATGCCTACATAACCTAAGCCTGAATTGGTAAAAAGGCTATTGAGTCAAACGACTCAAACCCAACTGTTCTCAAGCCAGCCTACTGCTATAACTTGGATGAGCTCAAACAAGTTAGACCTGGATTGAGACAAAAAGTGCAAGAAAAGAAAAGGCTTGAACTGCCAACCCAAAATTGTTAAGATATAATAATGCATTCAACAATTCATTAGCTGTTTCCGTGCAACTTTCTCTAAATTATGCGGTTCTCTACTAAATAGCTAAAGATGGATGCTCCGCTATAAGTCTTCCAGTTATACGAAGTTTTAATTTCAGGACCATCCTTTTTCTTTCTTTTTTGACTTTTTTGTGAAATTAACTCCGTAAAAACAGAAACAGCTAAAGGTGGGTTCTTCATATAACGGATCACTTCATTAGCTTCCGTTAGCCAACATATACGAACAAACAAACATACAACGGATGACTTCATTAGCTTCCATAACTGGAGATCGTGCTCTATTCAATTCTCATGCCCTCCGATAATCAAGCAGTAAATGGGACTTTTTCGTTTAAATATGTAATAGAAAAGAAGTAGAAGAGACAGTACGTAAACAGAAACCAACCAAACAAGTTGAGAAATGCACACTGCATCAAGATTTTGTGTTCATGAGCTCACACGCGTATATCATTATTCGTACTAATCGTTAGGCATTAAGTTGAAACAGCATAAGTAGAAAACCATATGAATAAACGTGTGCATTTTAGAAACCTCTGGATTTGCTTCAACAAAGTAAAAGAGAGGCAGAGAAGTTGACTGCAACTGAAGAGGCTGCCGAACCCATTTACCGGAAACCTGAAACACAAACATTAAAATTCCAAAACTTGAGTCATATGTGCATCAATCTCGCAACATTTTGGTTCGGAGAGACAAGCGCCTGAAAATCATGTGTTTTGGATTATCTAATAAATCATTAGAGCTTAATTACAGACTCCAAAACGGGTAAACTAAAGCTTAATCACATCCGAGGAGGAGATTAATTACCTTAAAAGGAAATCAGAAAGTGCAGTTGCTGACTTGCAGACACAGGAAAAACCTGAAACTGGGTTTTAGGTTTCCGAGGCAGGAGAAGAGGTTGCTGTCCCAAGTACGATTGTCCGACGGCCGGCTTCCGATTTTAAATCTTACTCGTACGGGGTTTAGTCGAGTTTCTAGGTTGTATGGATATCGGTGATTATCGTAGAGGATTCAGGGATGCTCTGCTCTGCTAATTCATGGAGGACGATTCCTATTAATTCTCAGAAATCTGCCTTAATTAATTAATGAATTAAATGCGTTAATTTAATTTCCTTTTTTGTTTTTATTTTTACTTTTCTATGTAGGGAAAAAGCGTTCGGCATGCGCGCGCTCAATTTTTTATTTTTTATTTTCTCTCCAGGGAAAAGTACTTTTCTGTTTTTATTTTACATTCCAGTTATTTTTTTTACCTTTTTTTCTTCGAAAGGCAAAATGAGATAATACCAAAAAGAGAAATATACGGACAACATTCTGGTTAATTTCAGTTAATGTGATTTTTTTTCATGGATAATACTTGTATCTCCGAGTTAAGCAATAAACTCATTCCCCCATTGTATTTTCAAGTAAAATAATTGAAACTGTTCAATCTCTTAATCTTCATATGAAGATCATTTTAACAAAAAAAAATCATTCCCATCAGATATCGTTTAGTCATCTAAGTATGTTAAATAAATCAACGGTTCATCATAAATATGATACTTGATATCTACATCGTTAAACATTTGAATGACTACCAATGTCTGTTTTGAATGATTTTTTTCAAAGTTGATCTTCAAAATAGGATTAAGAAATAGAATAATTCTGATTATAAAATGTTTACGGTGAATATATGTTATAAGTAAGTGGAGAAATAAGCTTATTTCAAGAAAATGCAATAATTATCCTTTTTTCATCAACTGCGAGATAGTAATTAGAAATTCAAAGTTGATACATTTTCTGATATCAAAATTTAAACTTCTAATCTCATCAATGCGCACGGTTGATACCTCATTTTTCAAATCCAACCTGTGCATGACAAACCCTGTCGTCTATCACTGAATCCTTCAATGGCTTAGGGATTACTAAACCTACTTAATATCTATTAAGAATTATACGTGCGAACGAGCGTTAGCAAATCTCATGTATGCACATTGTATTTGTAATTTACGAAACATAAAAGAAAGAAAGAAAATCCTAATACATCAATATCAAAATACAAACGAAGTACTACACTTCAGCTCCATTCATTTCGGCTAACCGATCTAATCAGACTCCCAATACAGTTCTGCAACGATGGCATGCCATGTCGAATAATCTTATCTACTCAAGCTAAGCTCTAAACAGTCCGAGCTACAACAAAAGAGTAAATGAAACCTAGGTTCAGCAAGGTAAATGTAGACAAATCTTGGCAGATGGCGCTGCTACGGTTGATGAAGCAACCAATGATGTATTCGCAAGAAAAGCTCGAAACGACCTTCAATAGAAACATGTTATTTCCCGAGTTGAGTGGCTTCCCACATACTGATCTTTCAAATGGCATCAATGAATCGGATGTCAAAAGAAATGGGATTAATCTGCCACACATTTATGTTTGCGTATTCCTCTAAACATTGTTTCAGTTGGGCTTCACTGTATCCCTGTTCCAAAGGAAACATTCCATAAGGCTTAAGACAAAATAGACAGAAGTTCGAACATTATTATATAATTATATTTTTCACTTTCAAGTTTTGTACTAGTTGTTTGACATGATAAGCAGTGCAGTTGGACTTTCGGCATTAGATCCACTTGTATAGGTTGGCATTCAATCATTTATCTGAACATCGATCACAAGATGCTTAAAGTTGAGTTTCAAAAACTAACCTTCCTAGAAATCAGATTCAGTGCATGTGCATAGCTCACATCCTGCTTGCCCGTCGTCTCAGACTCATCCCGCAAAATTGAATAGATATCTCCAATAGGATCCAGACCAGATTTCTGGCGATCATCTGAGTACAAAGAGAACTTCGACATATGCATCAGCCTTAATGCCTCATCCACATCAGATTGAGCCACAGTTTCAGAATATCAGAGTCTTGCTATTGCCTGTAAGCGAAAGAAGTTTGTTTGTTTGTTGCGTGATCAACACACCCTGTAAAGTATAAACATCTATTGCTTCCTTCTCCGGATGAGCAATTTCAAGCAACCCATCCAACAAACCAAGAAAATCTATTTATCTATAATACCCAAAAAAGCATACTAGATTTCCATGCTAGATAATTCTTCCTATACTTATGGACGCAGTTTCTTGAGCAACCCATCAAATGGGTAAAAGATGGTACAAACAATACTCCTACATATTACCTTTTTACAATTCCAACCTAAACATCTGACCCACTCCATACACAGAAAGGTTCCGCTTAAATACGCACCATTTAGGTCGTAACACTCTTAAATTGGGTGGCTTTCACTCTGCCTGATGAAGATGGCAGAACCCAAACCCTATGCCTATGTAGCTGGCTAGAAACCATCAATTTTGCCACCTCAGTCAACTTTGATGCTCTGTATATATTGTTGTATCATTTATTGCCGTCTCATTCTATTGTGATACACAGCATATATTTGCGGAACCACATTTATTTAAATGAAAAAATGAAAGGCAGGACTTACAGCTGATATTCGAAGAATGCTGAGCAGAGTTCTCACAGTTGTATAGGAATGGGGTGCATTCGATTTAGCTTCTTCTTGTCGAATGCTAGAGTAGGCACTAGCAATATACTCCTCAAGTTCCTGTGGGACTGAAGGAGACAATCTTCTCACTGCAGAAATATATGCCCTGAAGAAAATCATAAAAGAAAGGATCTTATCAGAAAGTACCACTAATCAGCAGACTTGAAAATAAGGATTTAGGTAGTTTTACAAATTACAAGTTTTATACAGAGAAATCATACTTGTTTGCATGGAAAAGTGATCAATAGAAAGACTAAAACAAAAGAGAAGTTCCTGAAATCAGTACTACTGAGCTTTCCATGGTAAAAGTGATGTGAAATTTACCGAATAACAGATGGCTCAAGTGGAGTGAAGCCAAGAGCCGGAGATTCTTTATTCTGATGAACATAGACAACATGCCTAGCCATCTCAAGATCACTATCCATATCTGCTCGATCCAGGATTAACCATAAAAGATCAAATCTTGACAAAGGGGCCGGTGGAAGATTAATGTTTTCAGCAGGAGTTCTACGTAGGTCATATCTCCCCCTTCAAGAATATATATAGAACAACTACAGTAAGAGTTTGCACAGATTTTACACAGAAGGTTAGCTGCCAGCAGTGGAAAAGGCACCACATAATTAGAGCAATATGATTTAGAAGAGAAGTGACAAGGAGTAATGCACTATATGAACCAGATTAAAAGTAGAAAGATTTTTACCATGCTGGATTAGCTGCTGCAAGAACAGCAGTTCTTGCATTCAAAGACGTAGTGATCCCAGCCTTGGCAATGCTGACAGTCTGCTGCTCCATAACTTCATGTATGGCTGTACGATCTAATTCATCCATCTTATCAAATTCATCAATAGCACATATTCCCATATCCGCTGGCACCTGAAATGAGTTAATACTTCCACAATTCAACACCCAGAAACACTAAAAAATTAACCATATAGAAAGCCTAATAAAGAATTATGGGGAATCTGATCTAATTAGAGATTATTAAGTGAATTGGTTATGGATTGACTCCTGAAAACTGGCTAGGTTTTACTTCCCCTCTTCACTTTCTAGCTATTGCTTCTGCATCAAAGGCACACACTGGTATGATGCAATAAAAGTTTAACATTAAGAACTCTTGAGTATTATGCATATATTCAGCAAGTATTTTGTAACTTTGTATGCTCTTCCACTCATATAACATGGAAAAATAAACTTAGATAAATATATATACACACACACATATATATTATATAACTGAAAGGAGCATATGTATCTAACCAATGCTCCTCCTTCCAGGACCATTTCATTTGTGATGGGATCTTTCTGAACAGCAGCAGTTAGACCAACTCCACTGCTTCCTTTGCCAGTTGTATATACTCCCCTGGGTGCTACATTAATAATGTGTTTGAGAAGCTGGCTCTTTGCAACTCCAGGATCACCCATCAGACAAATATGTAAATCTCCTCTAATCTGCATTTTGAAGGAGAATGTATTATGACCTCTTGTGGTCCTATCGTGCAAATGATAAAACATGCTATGACCAGTCTACTTTATCACAGGCATGACATGAGCTTGGAAATTATCCTAAAAATAGAACATTTGGCTTGGGAATTCCATCTTATACAGGAAGAAGACAAATTGCAAACTGGAGCTCAATTTACATAACCATTAACCAGTGACCAGGACATGTAAGTGCCAGGTCAGGAAGCTGCAATAGAGGGAAGGAAGAAGGGAGGACTGCTGATCTTTCACTTCAATGTAGAGGATACATCCAAATGATATCCATAATCTTGTGAATAAAAATTCTCAGAAGGATAAGCAAAATTCAATTTAACAATATGTGTAATTGAGTCAGATGGCATCTGGTAACGTTGAGAACTTACCTTCATTCCATCTTTTAGCTTCCTGTGAGGAGCGCCCACTAGGAGCAGAAGCAGAGCCTTTTTGATATCTTCATGCCCGTATATTTCAGGTGCCAAAGATCGAGCCAGCTTTTCATATATGTTACCATCCTCAGCCAAACGTGCAACTTGTTCTTCCTCATCTCCTATAAGTTCATAACTGTGGCATAACTCAAGTTAGTACACAACACCTTTTTTCACCTAAGAATTAAAGAGGTTTATCAAGGTAGGTAAAAAGAACAATAAGTTTAGCAAAAATGGTACTACAAGCACCAGATAAACTCTATGTTAAGAGTTGAAAAGATGGGAACAATATATGGTACAAGATTTGTATGAAAAGTAATTTAGTCAATTACACAAGTATAGATGGTTTTGTCGACTGAGAACTGATAAACGAAATGCATAAACCAATGACAAAATTGTACTGAACATGGAATAGTGGCTTACTCTTCATATTTTTTCTTAGTATGTGTGATGGACATGGCTTCTAAGTAAGTATCGGCAACTAAGCCAGCCTGCATTGCTCTGAAACCAGTGTAAGGAATAGGAAGAAAAATCCCAGATAGTTTCACAACATCACCCGGAGCTACCTAATGGTGTTGAGGAAGAGGCACGTGCAAATTCATAGAAAATAGTTAGAATCAGTTAAGTAGAAGCAGGATGTCATCACTTCCTGCAATCATGTGAAGCGGAAACCCCCCTGTCTACCCCATTGCAAGGGATTCATTCAAATCTGTAAGTTTAAGTTTAAAATACTTTATGATAATTAGCATAGAACTATTCAACCTTTCTTGTGAGTTCACCCCGGAAGCGAACGGTCATTGTCCGTGGAATATGGCCTTTTGGAACATCTTCAGCCAACTCTTGTATCTTTGCCTGAAATTGAACCTAAATATAACTCAGAAGAGGATGATAAACATTCTAATACAGCTGTCCCCGTGTTATTAAATAATTGTGACTAAATCGGCATAAAGTACCTCCTGAAATTTCAAGAACTTTGATGCCCTGAGTTGAAGAATAAGGTTCCCCTTTGTTCTATTTGTTATACAACGCCTGGATGGGCATTCAAAAAGTGGCATAAATACTCGAGCAGTTACTTCCTGTTAGGCACAAAAAGAATTCATGAGTCAACAAAAGTGGCTTTAAAGAAACAGGCACAAGTATAGGCGCAGTGGCATTGAATAAATTATACTCCAAAAGGGAGAGAAATAAGGTTTGAAATATGTTGAGTATGTACGGGTTTGTAGCAAGCAACAAATGTTTCAAAATACGCAGAATAGCCAAACTGTATTATGGCTTATTGGCAATCAAATGGCTGAACATAAGGATTGTGTCTAAGTACCTGGTAAATCTCAAAACCACATTCTTCACATGTATAGACAGCTACCTGCATCAATGGCTTAACATCTGAACACCGCGTCACAATACCTGATATCCTTACAAGCTGACCAATATGTGAAGCCTTGACCTCCCTAATTGCATATGGCTTCGACTTTCCACTTGAAGATGCTCTTATGTAAACTTCACTATAATACATATGAAAAAACACTAGTAAATTCAAACATCACAGAAAGCTTCGCTACAATGGAAGTTGAAGCATATGAAACCTATTAATAAACTACAACCAAAGACACGGAATAGATGTAAAAGTAAGTTACCAATATTAATCTGAGATAAACCTCTGTTGAACTTACATCGTACCAGCATATTTTCAAAACATATACTGCAAACCAAACTAGCTAATACCTATAAGAAAATCGACGTTCATTTACTAATGAGTCATGAATAACAAACTACTAATCACAAAAGTTAAACCCGAAACAGGAGGTGTATCAGTATGACCACACAATTCAGTGAATTTACACATTCAGACCGAAATTTCATTCAAACAAGCACAACCGGAATTAGGATTTTGCTTTGAACTCACAAGTAGCGCTTGATTTCAGGTGGCATCTTCTGGTGTGGATCCGGACCATCCATATTCTCTGGTACATCATCAGACCTCTGAGTCATGAGTATGTCATGATCATCATCTGTAAATGCCTCTGTGGGCTCCGGCATAAGCTCATCAATAGCATCAGCAAAAATACCAATATAACGCCGAGTATTTTCTTGAACTCGATTGCGGAATTCTTCATCCAATTCTGCGTACTGCATAACACAAAGTAACAAATGATTTCGTATAAGAAAATCAACAACTCATTCACAAATAATAATAATGATAATTAGGCCTTTGCAACAAAATCCCAAAAGGCATAGGTGGAACTTACACTAAACAAGTCCTCAATATCAATCTGGATAGCGCGAAATTTGCGGTTTGCAACTTCCTGCTGAAAAGTAAAAAAACATTTAGATATTGCTGCTTTATAGTCAAACAATTCAGAAAAACTGAATCCGGCATTCAATTCAACGGTCTATTAGGGTTTTCAGACCGTACTATCAAAGCTTACAAGAAAATGTGGTAAAGAAGAAGAGGGATACTCACAAGTATGCGCATGTATTTGGGTTCGCCATTCGAATCGGGAAAGTTGGAAAGAAAATCCTTGGTGAGCTCTGTCAAAAATAAAAATGAAAAATAACAAATATTAAATCGAGTATTGACGGAGGAGAGAGAGAGAGAGAGAGAGAGAGAGAGGTAGACGAAAACTGACCTTTTTCAGCGCTGAAGTCGATGTCCTTCATTGTTGCCGGCAATTGGAGAGAGGGGGAGAGCAAGAGAGAAAGGGGCAGTCACACACATACAGAGACTGAAGAGTAAATGAGAGCTCAGATTTGGAGGCAAATGACGGATAGAGGCGAGGGTTTTGGCGGGAAAAATAAGGGGAGGGTAATTTCTTTACATTGAGCTGGGCCAAGGCCGTAAAAGAAGGCCCATTAGAGGGCCGGCCCAAGCTCCAAGTAATCGGTTCAACCGACTAATTGCATAGAGACGAGAGTCAAGAACATAATATTTTATAATTTGAGTTGTCTTGTGTTTGTTTACAAGCAATTCGGACTTGCCTTGTATGATATATTGAACAACATCCGGAAAGCTATGGCTTCGTTTGAAAGTGGGTATGAAATTTCTGAAAGCGTTTTTTTGTGAAAATGCTTTTGAAACCAATTTAGTAAAAATGCAAGTGAATCATGAAAAAACACTTTAGTACTTAATGTAAGAAGCGCATACCTGGTGCTTCGTGCAAGAAGCTCTTTAAGTGCTTTTGAAATTCAAAAACATTTTCTCTAAAAGCACTTCCAGTCATTTTAAAAACAGTTCTAAACGAGCACTACATCTCTTGTCAAGGAAATTTTGAGGAAATGGCGCTTCTAAAAAAGCTTCAAGGAAAAGTTTCATACTAACAATTCTCTGGTCTCAAGAATTGGTCTCAAATTTAAAGAAATTTGTATTCATTGATATCATCGTCGTATTCGGTTACCAAACCGTCATGTCACGTACAAAATGGGGAGGAAATAGAGTGTCATTTCAAGCAACGGGAATTCTTTGTAATTTCACAAAACAATGGACTCTATACCAAAATACTTCATTTTCCGAGTGGAGTGCACGATGAGAATGCAATTCAAAGAATTTGCGGCCGTTCAACTGCAGCCTTGAAGCACTTCCGGATGCGGAAGGATGATATTCCAGAGCCAAATCATCTTGCCTCTGTCAAACTAGCTGTAACAAGAAAAATCACTCTCTTCAGAAATACATCTCACTTAAATCGAAGAATCAAATAAGAAACTAAAGGCAAGTTTTAAAGAATAAAGCATGGTACCATGCAATGAAAGGTCGCAAAAATTTGCTGTACCTCGAGACAATCGCTAGGGAGAGATTGGCTTCTGTTCCCTGGTCTTAGCCAACTTCAATTGTGTAAGTTTGTCCAAGATGGCGGGCTCTAAAGGAATTGGGTCAAGACAACGCTCAGCTGCTGCAACAATCACCTGCTCGACAGAAACAAGTCCAAACCGATTATTTATGGAGAGAGGTGAAGGAGATTTCAGGCCTCAACCATTCAAAAGTTGGCGCCAATAAAATAGATATGAACTAAGATGGAGAAGCTATATGAAGTTAAGAGGTTCAAGATGGAGAGCCAAGACTATTTTCTATATAGAGTCCTTAGGAACTGTATATCCAACTGAATTTGCAGGAATCCGCTCCTATTAAAAGTTTGGAGTCTGACAAATTCTTGCAAGCTTTTAAGGCAAAGTTTTACCAAGGTCGTTACCACCGACTCCTGCAATTTGCAAGCACAGTCAGTTCATGTTGTTCCTAAACCAGTACCAATACTGGTTCAAGCAACAACTAGTTCATTTACCTGCGTAAAATCAACTTTCGTAAATATTTCAACTTTTTGCTTAAAAAGTTTTGCCAGATGGGTTTCCAACAGCTGGCTTCTAGCCCTCTGGGTGTTTGACCGACTTAATTTTTCCTCTTGTAATGGGTTGCTCCGAGATGAAGCAGTGCTACGGTTGCTGTCAGCCCGGCGATGCCTGCGAATGCCTTGGGGCAAAATTTGTTTAACTTCACTTCTAATTGCTTCCAACTAACACAGGAAAGAAAGGAATGAATTGTGCAGAGCAGCTGACAACAAATAATAGATTTAACAAACAAGGTACCAAGCGAGTTCTCCCAACTTGACTCTTATTCCAAGAGAGTATTAAATGGCAGGGGGAAACAAATTATGTACTGACCTCTTGAAGAAATAAATCAACAAACATATGAACTTCGCGGGGTTCCTTGTGCTGCAAAAATGTTGAACAATATAGACAAATTAAAAAGAACTTACATGGTAGTAAGTTTAATCCTTTCTTAATAGTTTAGTGCACATGATATACTTCCTATTATTCAAATATTGCCTAACAAAAAGTGTACCTGGACCCAATTTGGTGTTGTAAACCTCTTCTTTAAGAGAACTGATATCCGCTGAGTTCTCATATTTATGTACTGAAAAGAGAAGATCAAAACATTTTGTTATCAAACTTTTGTCTGCATAATAGATAAAAGTGGTGTGATCATGGTAGCCCAATAAAAGTGGTTTGATCATAGTGTTAAAATCTCCATTTGTTAAAGGAGGGGTAGATGAAGAGCAGTGTTAAGGATGGTGTACTAGCACATTGGTCATACTTACGAAGAACTCCTAGTATATCTGCTGACCAGATTTCTGTCTTTATGTATTGCTCAGTGATTTCTGTCTACATTCCGTAAGCATACTCCGCAAACTCACGAACAGAAGTCTAAATTGAGTGCAAGTAAGTCAGTGATTCATCAGTGCAGTTACAAGTTACAGACATCAAAGAGAAAGAGGGAGAGCATATGTAACCGAGCAGAGAGTAATCATGAAGCACAAGGGGGAAACCTTAATGCCTATTTAAGTTGAATAGAAATTTTTAGTACAAGTACTATGTTCATCTAAATTTAACCTGCTTCTCTCACTTTGATCTAACATCTTTAAAGGTGTAAATAATCACTCTCCAACAATTTTAAGATGCATACTTCATGCAGTGAGTTTATTGTTAACTACGAATCAATTCAAGTCGTCACACACAACTTGCCAAAGATAAAAAACCAAAATGATGCTACACTAGTCCACTGTCAGAGACTCACCTCATGTGCAGTAGAAGGAACTGTGTCAGTAGAAGGATCATTAGAATCCAGTGAAGCATTGCGTATATCTTCTATCTTAAGCTGAAGGCCAGCAACAAATTGTTCCAACTTCTCTAGCAACTTCACCTTTAAGCTGTCAACCTGCCAAATGCAGGCAATATGTCATCGGGCGAAAAAAGATTATTGGAATTTTCTTTTCAATGCATTTTCTTTGTTGAGATTCTTCTTGTGAACAAAAAATGTCCACATCTATGCCTTCACTTACTACGAAATTTAAAATACATTAGGACTTGAAGAACAAAAAAACAGGATAACCTATTTTTGAAATGTCTACCAATTTCCTGTGAGTATTGTTCACACAATTTAACTGTAACAGTATAATATTGAATACATTTTCTATAGTTAAAGCCATGATGTGTTAACACGGTAATATGTAATCTAAATGGCAAACTTAAATAAAAGCGCAGTACAGACTGGGAAATCCAATTGCTTAAGAAGCACAGCAGCCTCAGCTCTTGCTTGCATAGATTCAGAATCTGAGAACAGCTTTCCCTGAAAAGAATAATTTGGAAAATCATAAGACAAGTTTTCCAACAGAACACATCCAGTTGCAGTCAGTAAGTTATTCGGCATGAAATTATGATTTTAAACATTAACTTTAACAACATCTCAGATGGTGAATGTCTATTCTTTTGTTAAAGTATGCTTAAGAAAGTACAGTAATACGACACAGATACACAATAAATGGCTAATAAGAAATAGCTTGATAGCTAGTGAAAAATGTCATGCCTTGATTCACAACTTATAGTTCATCTAATAGAATACAGCTAACTCATGAGCATGAACATCTCACTCACATGACTCACAGCAATCCCAAGAGCTCGGAGAGCTTATTTTAGGACGACACATGCATCATATTACTGAAACATTGTATTCATCCAAGGGAATGTTTCCCACACGTTTCAAGCAGTGGCCCTTCATGAAAAGATATTACAAGGCAATACCTGAATGTTACATCTTAAAACTAATCATATGTCCGAGATATAGGCACAATCCTAACATACTGCATAATCCTTTACCAATATTGATGCTAAAACTTCCACCAAAAACTGCATAACACTTATCCATGTATTAAAGCAAATGGAGTTATATATTATATGCCCCTAAACATATAACCTATGACACCATCCAACTAAAAATTACTACCTCGACTGCAAAAACTTAACAAGAACCCCCAAGAGAAACGTTGCGAAGGAAGTAAGGATAAGACATCTACTTGTTTCTTGTTAGGTCTGGGTAGAGAGAAAAACCAGTCTCGCCATATTATAAAATGGAAAGAAAGAGAAAGAAAAAAGGATAGACCTGCAAATTCTTGATAATTATGGTCACAGCTTCTTCAGATGCTCGCTTACAATCCTGGAATGAGGAGTCTCCATATGCCTAATTGTGAGAGCCCAACCACAAAGAAACAAGACACAATGTAAATAAAACTCCACACAAAGGTAAACTCTGGTCCCGAATGCAAAAGATCATAGGAGATAGAAATTACCTTAAATATTGGTATTGCTCCTGTATAAAATTTGACCACATCAGCATATGCTTCTGATTTGATACACTTCCCGAGCCTAGCAGGTAGATCATAGATGAACTGCCGTTCCACAAAAAAAAAGAGATTTATGTAACCCACAAGGCCAGACACCGAAATTAAAACTGAAGTGTCATGAAGTCACACATATATTGCTCGCCAACCTGAACTTTACGAAGAAGGTTGCGTGTGCGATGCAACTTTTCTACGTGTTCCCTCTTCTCAGAAAGAGAAGTGTTGACCCCATCACTTCTAGATTGCACAGACATTATCTGCAATCATTGTCAATGTGAAGTAAGCTACTATTACACTCCTTTTTTCCTTCTTTTTCCTCTGAAAACAAAAACATAGCTTGAGCGAGCCTTAGTTAAAGTAGAAACAATTGGAAGTACCTTCTGGAGGACCTGTTCCATATTTGCCTCCATCCCCACAATATTACTTTTCATCCTGTTGGAAAAATTATCCAAGACCAGAATATTATAGGAGACTCTTGGTTACATTATCTACAAGCTGAAACATGATAAATGATAATGTGGGTAGCAGAAATTTCGTCAACATGTAAATATAGACATATACGTAAAAAAAATAAAGAGTTACTGTTTAATAGTATCTGTCGCGCTAATAAACTTGTTGTAGTTCTCGTATACTAACATTTGTAAGTCAGTATCAAGATTCTTTATCTCAGCAGCCATTTGAACATGTCTCTGTAGAAGCCCTTCCAAGTTTGACTTGTGTACCTGCAAAGTTCATAAAACTCACAATGCTGATTCAAAGTTCGAATTTCTGCCTCATATTTGATAACAAAATCAGCGTATTATGATCATTCAATATACAAATGCCACAAATCACGCACAATCAACTTATCGGAGAAAACATACATCACCATATGAAATCAACAACATTCCTACAAAGTCCTCTACCCTGATTCTGAACCAAATGCCCGTCTCCAATTCTGCTACGAAAACCAATGGTTCGTTCCACTCCACAAAATTGCCAGCTCAATTCAAAACAACTTGATGACATTTTTTTGAGCAGCCACTAATTCCATTTTTCACCTCTACAAACTTAGCTACGACGTAAATATACATAAATTTCCAGACACAGCCTTACAATTCAACCCTAAATCTGCCCTAGTTACCAGTAACGATTACGATTGTCCCAAAATTAAGTAAACAAAACAGCTGAATCAATCATGTATTTGGTAAAAGATAAGAGTTGGGGATCGTACGAGGAGATGCATGTGCTGGTCGGGATCGAAGGAGGTGGAGTTGATGGCGTCGAGAGTGGCGTACTTGGACGAGGACTTAGAGTTGGAAGACAACAGCGAAGGGTCAGGGGAGTAGAAGCTCGACAGCAAATCTCTCATCCTCTTCGCCTTGTCGTCCAGCGGCACGTCGTTCACCTCCATTTCTACGTTTCTTCTTCTTCTTCTTCCTCAACCTTCAGTCTCTGTGATCCGAGAATTGGCGCTGCTGGAATGCAATCAAAATTTTGTTACAGGGATACAGTTATGATTTTGTTAAACGACGACGTAGAGGTCAGTGTCCGTAGTTTTAGGCCTTTGACTATTTGAACCCTTACACACCTTGTAATGAAATTTTATCAGTTTTTATTACTCCTCGCAAATTTTTAAGAAATGACAAGTTCTATAATTATCTTCAAGAAATGTTCAGTGATTCATTTAAAATTGAGACCCTTCATGTATTTTTTGTCATTTCATATTTTTAAGGTTTGCTTGTAAATTGAAGTTAAACTCTGACATGACAAATAATTCATGAAGAGTCAATTTTGAAAGAGTTTCCTTAGCATTGATTTGCTTTACCATGGCTTGAAGAAGATTAGAGAAAGTAATTATAATTACGACTTTTTCTTCTATGCTCTAACTTATCGCGGTTATTTTGAACATTCTATCACAATCACCTCATAACTCTCACTATTTTTTTCCTAAAGCCAATTGGAACACTAAAGAATCGATTTGACTCTTAAGCCTCCTTCTCTGTATATTTGTTTGGATATATCACTCGTTTAGATATAAGCAACACGATTTCATTCAAAATTTTCACTAATTTTGAAACCATGTTATTAGTAAGATATTTGATAATTGTTAGTTACCAAAATGAAGACAACAAAGTTGATTTGTTTTGTTATGTGAGTTTTCGGTTGTTGAGACAAAGCGATAGTGGAGGACTCGAATCTAGGACATTGAGTGCACTAGTATATCTTATTAACCACTTGAACTACAATGTTTTATTCAATGTTCTAAAAAACGGCCTAGGCACCTGCCTAGGCGCTAGACAGTGGTGACCCGAGGCGTTTTCTTGCAAATCGGTTAGAAAAATCGGTTGGGCTCTAAGCGGCGCCTAGGTGGGTGAGGCGGCCCTAGGCGGGCTAGGCACTAGGTGGGCTAGGCAGCTCTAGGCGGCTAGGAGGCTAGGAGGTTTTTTTTTTTTTTTTTTTTAATTAAGAAAAAATCCTATCTACATTACTATATTTCCTTATTTTTCCTCCTATGTTGCATTTTGTGTGGCTTGCAATTGGGAATTTATTGTACATGTGTCATCCTACAATACTCCTCACTATGGTTCTATGATAGATATGCTTAATGTGTTTTTAAATTTTGGACTTGTTGGATACTCTTTTTGCATTTTATTTTTCTTTTATTATCTTATCCATGAATTTCATACAAGTTTAATTTTTTGTAAGTGTCAATATGCACTTATTTACAAGATATACAAGAAATTTACCTAAATCTACCTAGGCGCCCGCCTAGACGCCACCTAGCCGCCAGCCCGCCGCCTGACTAGCGCCTAGTGCCTAGCGTTTTTTAGAACCTTGGTTTTATTAATAGAAAGGTTTTGTCAAATATCACTAACATGGGCCATGGCTATTTGTAGGGCGGGGCTATAGCAGAGTTGAGCCCAAAGAGTAAAAAGTCAATTGTTTATCTAAGGCCAGTAAGCCCATAATGTCTTATACAAAATTTTAACACTAACGATACAAATAAACAACTGTTATGACGTCATTTTTATACAATTTGTGTGTTGTATAAAGTGTATATGTTAATTTTGAAGTTGTCTTGACCTTATTGGTTTAGACAATGACCATGTTCATTTGTTCATGTATAAAATAAGTTGTTTATCTTCTTTTTTAAACTAAGTTGCTTATCTTTCACACCAAGTAAAAGTTGTTTTACCTTCACAACCTTTTTCATTTTGAAAAACTAAAATAAAATAAAATATATCGCAAAGGAAAGACTTTACAAACAAGCAACAAACAAATTCAACCATCGGAAGAAAAAAAATGCCAACAAAGTTGCACCAAAGAAGCAACAACAAAAACTAATTATATGTGGGGATATTCCATTTTCGTTAAATAGACTCAGTAGTAGTAGAATGATCGACCTTCAAGTTAGTGGACTTAGGACTGGTTTGGTATTACTGTGCTTTGAAAAAAACTGCTTCTGTTATACTGTGAGAATAAGCTCATTTTTGTTGCTTCACATTTTCAGGTTTTTTTTCACCCAAAACTGTGAAAATAAGCTGTTTTTAAGTGTTTACCAAACACCTTTTTGAGTTCAGCTTTTTTTTATACCCACTTTTTATAAAATCATCTTAGTACCAAACCAGTACTTAATAGAGTTGAGAACCACCTCATCGAGTTGACACAAAGTTCTTGAATTTACATTTGTTCCACTCCCTCCATACATAATACACGATAGTGGGGTACAATGGTTGATGATAGTATGTACAAAAATGTATAGAAACAATAATCAATGTTGCATGCAAAAATAGTAATCGATGTTGCGTGCAAAAGTATTATAAATAGCCTATGTAAAAACAAGTGTTAATGGTCATTTTGCTAATAGATGCAAGTGAGATCAAAATCGAGATTTAGGAAACAAAGTGGCAAATTTTGAGTTATAGGGATTAAAATGGGATCAAAATCGAGTTTAAGAGACGAAAGTTGTGACTTTGAGTTTGAAGGAGAAAAGCGAGATTGAAATCAAGTTTTAATAAGTGTAGCTAAAAATAAGCCAACAGTAACAAGTAGTTGGTGGAAAAATGTTATTGATAGTCTCTTTGGTGGCGAGACCTAATAACATACGACTTGCAAAAGCAATTTTATTAGCAAATGGAAACATTTGCTTGTTTTTTATTTTGAACGAACGAACGACATTTTCTACACTAAGAGAGTTGAAGAGTGGGTTAGGCCTCATAATATACGAGCTATAATAATGTAGTTTAAATTTATCTTTAGCAAGAATAAAACCTAACATTTTCTTGTTATAAAAACATTAGAATAAGAAAGATAACATGTTTCCTCACCAAAAGAGAATATTGCTATTCCCTAAAATAAAATAATTGAAAACCAAATGTGTAAATAAGAAAAAAGTAATGTTAGGGAAATTAAATTTGTAGATTAAATTTTGTAAACTAAATGATATGAAAGTTAATGATTGAATTATTACTTAAACGTTGATAAGCCGTAAGCGTGCTCATTTCCTATTGATGACACGTTATTTAATTTGTAAATTTTATTTTTAAATTTAGTTTTCATAGCATTACTCATAAAAAACCAATTGAGAAGCAAATGCGTGAAAAATAAAACAATTGAAAATAAAATGATAGAAAAGGAGAAAGTTCCTGCCTTCTGTAAGAGCACTTCCACCGTGGGAAAACCCTCCCCCAGGCTATTCACTATTTAATCCACCTAGTGAACAGTAACTGCCCTTAATAAACAATAATTACTTTTTGCATCTTTACCGTTGCACTTGAATAACCCTGACAATAGGCAATAAAATATTAGTTTTTTTAAATAATACAAAATAATTTTATTTGTAATTTCGGATATGATTTTTAATCGGTCTCATTGTACCTTTTTTTATTAAAAAATTATTTTTATTATTTTAATTTTTTTCTTTTCACATGGTGATCCCAATCCAAAACCTTTTTTATTATTATTAATTTTTTTTTCTTCTGCTCTTTCACATGGTGCGTTGGAACCATTCCAAAAGCCCAAACATTTTCTTTTCAACCTGTGTCCTCCCCCCCCCCCCACAACCCCCCGACGCACCCAAACCCTCCTCATCTCTTCCTCCATCTTCACCACCCCACCACCGCCTCTCTTCCTCCATCTTCACCATCCCACCCACCTCAGCCTCCATCAACGGTCCCGATCTTCCCCGCTCTCTAACCAAACTCTTTCTCTCCTCTTTCCCCAGAAAACAAATCCCAAATCCCAAAGGAAGAGGATTGCGAGTGCGTGGGGGCGAAGGCGGTGTGGGGTGCGGCGGCAGTTGCGACGGAGGAGGATCTCTACCATTTGTATGTGGGTGTTCATCAACCTCGGCGACAAACTCCGGCGAGAGTCGTTGAGTTCGAAGCCTGGGTTTTACAATTTTTTAATTTTTTTTTATTAATAATTTATATTATGGCTGACGTCACCCTGACGTCAGCCCACGTCACGTTGCCTTCGGGCTCTCGAACTACTAACTCGTGCCGGGCCTCTCCCTCAGTCTCGCTCGGGCTCCATCGCTAGAACATGCTGGACTTGGTTGCTCGGGCTCTCTGCCACTGTTCACGGGCCTGTCCCTCAGGGGAGAGCACATGCTGGAAGTGCTCTAATATCCAGAGCATAATGTCATGGCGCGTGCAACTACCTTTTTTCACCGTGCAATTAATGGCAAGGTGCGTCAGCAAAAATGAGCTGTCCTTGCACTGTACTTATATATATATATATTATTACGCTCCATTAGGCTAATATTTCAAGAGATCTTCCATAAAGGCAAAGGGCCAAAGGCAAAACAAAATGATTGCTTGAATGAGACTGGGACCCGTGTCGATATAATCTTTCCTTTTTTCCAAGTCTCTATATATTTTTTTTAGAAAGATTATCTTCCCTTTTAATCTCTATTCCCTTCCCTGCTCTCATATTTGAATAGTTATGGTTTAACCACGTCAACATCTTATATTGATTTTTTTATAAAGATAATAAGACAAAAAAACAATATGTGAGAGGAGGGGAGAGAAGGAGATGAAAATAAGAAGAGAGAGAATCATACTCTATTTTTTTTTACTTGGAAATAAAAGGGGAGATCATATTCAGATTTCTTCCATCAAGACCACTAGATCAAATGATCCGGACATTTGAAATTTCATCCAACGGCCCACCTGTTTTGACCCCTTAAAAGCTATAATAATTATTTACTATTGGATGAAATTTCAAAGCTCCGGATCACTTGATCCGGTAACCTTAGTGGAAGAAATCCGCTATTCAAGTATATTAGTTGTCCTAATTTGATAACTGGAATTTTATTTCCTAAGAGAGAAATATGTATGCACAAAGACAAATGAAAATTCGATTTGAATACGCAATGCGTATTATAAGTTTCAGAATAGTCTAGTCTTGCACACCACTAAATTTTAGTGTCCTTAAATGGAGTAAGATTCTCTTTCTTTTTAGTCTCATTTTTCTTTTATTTTTTCTTCTATTTGAACGATTACGATTAAACCACGTTAATGTTTTATGTTAATTTTTTAATAGTGAATATGTGAGAGGAGGGGTGAGAATAAGATGAGAATAGGAGGGGAGAGAATTTTACTCTCTCTTAAATAAGGGTGACCAAATTGAAGTCGGATTCTCTCCTCTTTAAATCCCTCTTCTTCTTCTCTCCTCTTACACTTTATATATTTTTTTTTTAAAAAAAATCAATACAAGATGTTTACGTAATTTAATCGTAATAATTTAACTACGAAAACAAAGATAATTTTACTGAATAAAGGAGAACTTTCCTTTTGTGATTTAAATGATAAACAATTTAATGGACAAGAGAAACAAAAGAATATTTTTCTTGTTCTAGGTTCATCCTATTATAATTTTTTAACGTATTAGCCGTCCTCGCCATTGACGTCAGCCATGACGCACCAAATTAGCATTTAGCACTCGTTATTATTAAAAAAGTCATTAATTTATTATTTTCCACACCCACCAAACCCTCCCATCTCCTGCTATAAAAGCCCATTCCCACACCTTACTAAACCTTCTTTCTCCTTCCGTCTCATTTCGTCTATATTTCTCCGCCGCGCGTTTGCCTTTCAGATAAGTCCTCTTCCCCCCTTTTCTCTTTCTCTGTCTCTAGATTTTCATTTCCGCTTGCTTCTCCTTCGTTAGATCCGAAATCTCTGATCGGATTCTAGATCTGAGGTTCAACTTTGGGTTTTTTTTTGAGGTTCTTGAAATCCAATTCGATCGGATCTGATTTGGGGGCCTGGAAACTCTGGGTTTGTAGAAATCTAAATCAATGGGTCTAGTCTTTCTATGACATTATGTATCGTATCCGTCTGCTTCACTCGTTCTCCGTTGTCTTCCTCTACTGGTTCTACGTTTTCTCATGAATTAATCGCATCAATTCCTTGCCTCCAATTCGAATCCCAATCCTAATTTTATTTTCGCCCCAATTCTTTCAACCCTAATCTAATTTAGGTAACAAACATCAATTCCTAATTTTTGCAATTCTTGGGTAAATTACCCGAAGAAAGGAAGAAATGTCTTTGGTTCAGCGCCAATCTAGCTCAGGATCCGACGGGTCCGCGACGGTGGACGAGAAGAAGAGGAAGAGGATGCTGTCCAACCGCGAATCCGCGAGGCGTTCGAGGATGAAGAAGCAGAAGCAGATTGATGATTTGACGACTGAGATCACCCGTCTGGAGATGTCGAACAATCAGGTTCGGCAGACAGTCGATGCCAGGGAGCGGAGCTACAATGAGATAGAGTCTGCAAACAATGTGCTGAGAGCTCAAGCAATGGAGCTCACCGATCGACTGCAGTCGTTAAACTCGGTCCTCCATATATTCGAAGAGGTCAGCGGCTTCTCGGTCGACATCCCCGAGATGCATGATCCTCTGCTTAAGCCATGGCAGCGCCCCTACCCGTCGCAGCCCATCCCGGCCTCGTCCGGCATGTTCTTCATTTGATGACGATCTTCATCGCTTCTGTCTGTCAGTGTTTTGGTGGTGTTCGTCTTTTGATTTCGATTTTAGTTGTTGGGTTGATGTTAGCCTCAGTTGTTTTTGGTGTCTTTAATTAATAGTTGTTGTAGTCAGTGTCTTTGCACAAGCTTGTTTCATGATGGATTAGCAGTGCATTTGGGTTTGCTGTTGGAACTTGGAACCGAACCGTGTGTACAATGTTGTTCATTTGGTCTGTATAAATCAAATGTTTGTGGTGCTTGTTAGCTGTGGAATGTAGAGTTGCTCTTTTTGTTGGTAATTGAAATTGTTCCCAAACGCTTAACCTCCATAATAGGTTTGATTATCTATATTTTTAAGATGATATTCGAAACTACACTCCGGTTATACAAACTTGCACTCGAGTACAAGGGGCACACCCTATCAATCAAGATTGATACGACTAATTGATCTAATTCACGTCTGCGATCGATTTTTTAAGCACACAGCCTACATAATCATAAGATTAAACCACACTTCATATTAATATTATAGTTAACGTGTGTTTAGTGAAAAATAATGTACTTCCCATTGAGCTTGGACAAAGTCCCAAGCAAAAGCAACAGAAAACCGGAAACTGGGGGAGGGTTGTCCCACAACTCCCACATGCTATGCATGATGTACCAGTCACCACCCCAATCACCTATGATTCATCCACGCGTTGCGCACGAACAGTTGGTCTAGTTGCACAACCAAGTCTCTACGTAGATAGGCCTTATTTTTAATTCCATTCATCATCATAGTGGCGTTTCTTACCAACAACATGACATATAATAAAAAAACCTTAATAGTGCACTCGTATCATGCAAGTTTTTTTCTCATAAAAACATGGTAGTACATATATATTTGTAATGAGTTTGACGATAGATTGTCAATCATTTTGGCTTAATGTAGTGAACTATTGAATACAACTTTAAATCATGCTTACTTACACAGTATAAGAACTGGGAGACTTCGAATTCCTAATTTTCTGGTGTTTACTAAAATATGAGCATGGCAATCATTTCAATTCCTAATTCCCCCTGCATATAAAATCAGATTATCAAAAATCCATGACAAAATACCTCGAAATCAAGAATTGGACCAACCTGAGAACTAATCGTTCCGGTTCTTTTTTCTTATTTTCTCTATTCTAAGTACCCGATTCGTTACTTATACCCGGCCCTTCGATAATACGTCCAGTATTTAATTGATAATTGACAAGATCAACATTTTTAAAAGGGAATTGTTATTGGCATTTCAAAAATCTAACTCTACACTCCTCACAAGTGTATTTTTTTTTTTCTTCCAAATATATAAAGTTTGAAGGGTAGAATAAGATTTTTAAAATGCCAATAACAATTCCATTTTAAAATGCAAATAAAATCCCTTTCCACAAATGAAATATGAGATTCAAATAGTAATAAAGGCAAAGCTTCTTTATAATATTTGGAAGCTGATAAAGTAATCACCAATTTATGTTAAACATATATATTATAACATGCTACTGTATCATATCATCATGCAAAATAATTATAAAAAACATTCCAAAGTAAGTTTTTCATGACAATATCCCAACAACAGGTTTTAGTCCATCTTAATTAACATAAACAGAGACAGAGAAAGTACTGTGAAATCTAAAACACGACAACCTCAAAGCCGGGCCAAGGCATAGGTAGATTGAGATCCATCGATCAGCTGTCGTAAGTACGGCACTCGTCGGTTTCGGGGTTGTCGTTACAGAATGTCTCCAGGGGGTCGGAACTTTTCTGGTTGTCACGTTTGTGGCTGGCGGCGGCGCTCAGCTCCTCCACCTCGTCCCACGCCGCCACACACTCCCCGCTTGCCGGGTCGTCCGAGCACTTCTCCTCGGCGCTCTTGATGCTTTCCGCCACCTTTTCCGACAGTTTATCTGGTGCTGCGCTTACTGGCCTTACCATGGTCATGCGGCGGCCAACGGAAGAGTAGCTTCTCCAGGTGGGGATGTTGAGTGATTGAAATGCCCTCGGTGCCTCTGTTGCTTTTGACAACGCTGCCCTTGGGGTGGAGAGGCTCACTCCGGCGACTGTAGTGGTGGTTGCCATTTCTCCTCCTCTCTTTCTTTCTGGTTTCGAAGTGGTGAGGTGCTTACGAGCATGAGGTTTAATTGGTGTTTCCAACGGTTCAGGATCGCACACTTCTTATCATATCACAGCCAATCATCTACTTCCACGTCGGAAACACTTGAGATATTTTACGGGAAAAAAATCACACTTTTGAACAGGGAATGCATTTTAGTTTTCTTTTTGGGGTTCTCAGTGTTCTGTACCACTTTTTCTTTATTTATTGTATTTTGTTGAATAATTGAGAGGGCCTCTCAATTATTTTTGTACGAGTCATGGTCCACCAGCCTAAGTGGTCATCAGTTGATAATGGAGCAAGAAGCTTATTCCTGAAACCTTCTATCAGCCGGCTTTGAGATCGAGATCCCCGAGTCCTGTACAATTTCAATTTCAATAACAAACTGTGAGGTAATATTTAAATACAATGGGAAATGATGTTAATTTCTTATATTAATCCTAGAGGTCCTAGAGTGTGTTTACCTGCACCTGACGGCTATATTTCAGGTGAAGACGTTATGGTCCAGGAGGATATAATATTCCTGATCTTAATCTACGACTTTTGTTGCGTTTAAGGAAGTTCTGAAGGAGATCTTCTCTTCGGAAAGACCTCTGGATGAAAGAGATACTTACCTTCGTAAAAAGTTGTGCAGTTTTTGTAAGGACGCACAATTTTCATGGCATTACCCTCACGTAGTACCAGGTATGGATCTGGGAAATATCAGCGTGACAGGTCAGTTAAATTTTGTTGGCTGTATGACTTATAGGATTCAGCAACAAATTGCTAGTCTAAAAGTAAATTCTAAACATGATATAAGCATCAAAAGATTTACTGAGTTAGAACAACAAATTTCTGTTATAAAGAAAATTGTTAAAAGAAATGACAGTGCTGAATTTCCAGATATAAACGGAATGGTAAACACTTTAGCCACTAAAGAACAAATGGACCAAGTTTTTGTGAGTCTAGCTTTAAGACTAGAAAAGCTTGAAAATATAAAGACTTGCAGAATCTATACATTACATGCAGGTTAAATTTGATAAAACCATCACAGATTTATATGGAACGATGGAATCACTTAGAGGAAGAGATGCTAAAATCAAACCGCCTGATCATACGTATAAGAGTATGAACCAAGTTAGAAATATCTAGATGGAGACGGATATAATTTTCCAGATAGATAGCTTTACAGATTTAAGTTGTATAGAAGAAGACCTAGCAAGTTTGAAGCTAGAACATTCTGAACCAGAAGTAGTTTTTGCAGACCAAGCTGAAGGTAGCGGAAAGAAGAAAGAAGATGAATTTGGAGTTATACCAGACAACTCTAGCCGCTATAGGTCAGGAACTTAGACCATCTCCAACCAAAGGTCCAGAGGGACGAAAATAGCACGAAAATCTTCTCCAATCAAGGGCTACGCCAGAGGGCTCGTGGGCCCCACGGAATCTGAAAGGGTTAAAGGGCCGGCTACTTTCAACCAGCCCACTGGCTAGCCCAATTTCTTTTTTTGTTTTTTGTTTTTTTTTTATTGTTCTTTTCCATTGCCCAACCCACTTTAGGGTTTAAGGCTTAGTTTTTTTATTTTTTACTTTTTTTATTTTTATGGTCCCAGCTCACTTTTTGTTTTTATGCCTAGCAGCCTTTTTTTTTTATTTCTAATTTTTTCATACACCATTTTTCACTCTTTCATACTATCTTACCATATTTTATTTCAATTATTCACATTTCATGCTATAACCTTTTGGCCCTCGGTTGGAAATGGTAAGGAATATGACCATGCACTGTTCATTAAAATATTAATTTCTTAGAGGGTCAGAGGCCTGAAACAAGCCATCTGGCCAGCCTTCGGTAAAGACCATCTCCAACCGAAGGTTATAGAGGGTCAGAGGGGCGAAAATAGCCCCAAAACCGTCTCCAACTGAGGGCTAGGCCAAAGGACTCGTGGGTCGTGGATAAAAAAGGGCCAAAGGACCAACCAGATGGCTCAAATGAGTCAGCCAGCTACCCCCGGGCCGGGCCATAAGACTATCTCCAACTGAAGGCTAGCCAGATGACTCATTTTAGCCCTCTGGCCCTCCAAGAAATTAATATTTTAATGAACAGTGCATGGCCATATTCCTTACCATCTCCAACTGAGGGCCAAATAGTAATAGGGCTTGTTTTAGCCCTGTCACAAAAAACGTCGCCAACCGAGGGCCAAAGGGCTATAGTATAGAATGTGAAGAATTGAAATAAAATGAGGTAAGATAGTATGAAATAGTGAAACATAAATGAGAAATGGTGTAGGAAAAAAATTAGAAATTAAAAAAAAAAAAAAAAGGTTGCTGGGCATAAAAACAAAAAGTGGGCTGGGACTATAAAAAAAAACTAAGCCCTAAACCCTAAAGTGGGCTGGGCAATGGACAAAAATTTGAAATTGGGCTAGCCAGTGGGCTGGCTGGCTGAAAGTGGCCAGCCGGTTGACCCATTCAGATTCTGTGCGGCCCACGAGCCCTCGGTTGGAGATGGTTTTCAGGCTATTTTCGGCTCTTTGGACCCTTTGGTTGGAGATGGTCTAAGGCCATCTCTAACCGAAGGCTGCCCAGAGGGCTCGTTTTAGCCCTGTCACCAAAAACCATCTCCAATCGAAGACCAAAGGGCTATAGTATGAAATGTGAAAAATTGAATAAAATAAGGTAAGACAGTATGGAATGGTGAAAAATATGTGAGAAATGGTGTAGGAAAAAATTAGAATTAAAATAAAATAAAATAAAAAAAAGTGGTTGGGACCGAAAAAGTTCTTAAACCCTAAACCTAAAGTGGGCTGAAAGAACAAAAAAAAAAAAAAAAAACTGGGCTGGGCAAGTGGAAAAGAAAAGAAAAAAAAAACAAAATGGGCTAGCCAGCGGGCTGGTTGGCTAGTTTAAGATGGCTTGCCGGTTGGCCCTCTGAGCCATTTTTTTTCATGTGGGGCCCACGAGCCATTTGACCTAACCCTCTATTGTAGATGGTTTTCAGCCCTCTGACCCTTTGGACCATTCGGTTGGAGATGGTCTAAATTTGAAACCAACGGCTAGTTGACGTCAGTTACTGTTATTTAAATTTTTTATTTTTGGGGCCAAATTTTTTTAAAATATTTAATTATAGGCCCATAAAGTACGTTTAGGTTTTCTTTTTATAGGCTTGGGAGCTTGCTCAAATCCCTTCCACAGCTGATGTGGGACTCCTATCCACTTCCCTTTTTTTTTTTAATACTTCCTCTCCCACAGCCGATGTGGGACTCCCCACTTCCTTTTATTTTTCTACTTCCTTTCCCACACACTTCCTCTTTTTTTTTTTTAATACTCTAAATAAAACCTCTCACATTTGACTTGAAATATATAAGTTGTAGTCTTTAAATTTTAGTTGTAGTTTTTAAATTTAAATAATAAATTATGTTTGGCTCTTTGGCCCTCGGTTGGAAACGGTTTTTAGTGACAAGGCTAAAACGAGCCCTATGGCCCTCGGTTGAAGATGGTAAGAAATATGGCTCTGCATTGTTCATTAAAATATTAATTTCTTGGAGGGCTAGAGGGCTAAAACAAGCCTTCTGCCTAGCCTTCGGTTGGAGATGTTTTAGCCATTTGGCCCTCCAAGAAATTAATATTTTAATGAATAGTGCATGGCCATATTTCTTACCATCTCCAACTGAGGGCCAAAGGACTATGGTATGGAATGTGAAGAATTGAAATAAAATGAGGTAAGATGGTATGAAATGGTGAAAAATATGTGAGAAATGGTGTAGGAAAAAATTAGAAATTTAAAAATAAAAAAAAAACGTCAAAAAAAAAAAGTGGGCTAGGGAAAAAAAAAAAAAAAAAAAGAAATTGGGCTAGCCAGCCGGTTATCCCTTTTGCCCTTTTTTGTCCAGTGGGGCCCACGAGCTTTTTGGTTTGGTCCTCGGTTGGAGGCGGTTTTAGGGCTATTTTCAGCCCTCTGGCCCTCTGGCCCACTGGACAAAAAAGGGCCAACCGGCTAGTCATCTTCAGACAGCTGGCTGGCCCTATATATATATATATATTTTTTTTTTTTTTGGTTCTTTTCCATTTGCCCAGCCCACTTTAGGGTTTAGGGCTTGGGTTTTTTTTTTTTTTTGTCCTAGCCCACTTTTTTTTTTTGGACGTTTTTTTTTTATTTCTAATTTTTTCCTACACCATTTCTCACATATTTTTCACCATTCCATAATATCTTACCTCATTTTATTTTAATTCTTCACATTCCATACTATTGCCCTTTCTTTGGCCCTCAATTGGAGACGGTTTTTTGTGACGAGGCTAAAACGAGTCCTATGGCCCTCAGTTGGAAATGGTAAGACCATCTCCAACGGAACTGTCCAAAGGGCCGAAAATAGCCCGAAAATCATCTCTAACCGAGGGCTAGGCCAAAGGGCTCGTGAGCCCCACAAGACAAAAATGGGCTAGAGGGCCAACCGGCTGATCACCTTCAGCCAGCCAGCCCGCTGGCTAGTCCATTTTGTTTTCTTTTCCACTTGCCTAGCCCCGGTGTTTTTTTTTTTTTTTTTTTTTTTTTTTTATCTATCAGCCCACTTTAGGTTTAGGGTTTATGAACTTTTTTGGTCCCAGCCTACTTTTTTTTTTTATTTCTAATTTTTTTTTCTAACACCATTTCTCACATATTTTACACCATTTCATACTGTCTTGCCTTATTTTATTTTAATTCTTCACATTCCATACTATAGCCCTTTGGCCCTCGGTTGGAGATGATTTTTTGTGACATGGCTAAAACGAGCCCTTTGGCCATTTGGCCCTCGATTGGAGAATAAGGCAAATATGACCATGTACTGTTCATTAAAATATTAATATCTTGGAAGACCAGAGGGCTAAAACGAGCCCTCTGGCCAGCCTTCGGTTAGAGATGGCCAGATGGCTCGTTTTAGCCCTTTGGCCCTCCAAGAAATTAATATTTTAATGAACAGTGCAGAGCCATATTTCTTACCATCTCCAACCGAGGGCTAAAGGACCATAGAGCTCGTTTTAGCACTGTCACAAAAAACCATCTCCAATCGAGGGTCAAGGGGCCAAACATAATTTATTATTTAAATTAAAAAAACTACAACAACTTAAATTTAAAAACTACAACTAATATTTAAAAAATACAACTTAAATTTAATAACTGCAAGTAAAATTTTAAAAAATACAACTTATATATTTCAAGTCAAATGTGAGAGGTTTTATTTAAAGTATAGAAAAAAAAGAGGGAAGTGGGTGGGAAAGTCCACATCGGTTGTGGGAGAGGAAGTAGACAAAAAAAAAAATGGAAGTGGGTGGGAGAGTCCCACATCGGCTATGGGAGGGGAAGTATAAAAAAAAAAATGGAAGTGGGTGGGAGTCCCACATCGGCTGTGGGAGAGATTTGAGCAAGCTCCAAAGCCTATAAAAAGAACACCCAAACATTCAACTAAACATACTCTCTGGGCCTGTAATTAAATATATATTTTTTAAAAATGTTGACCCAAAAAAAAAAAAAAAAAATCAAATAACAGTAACTGACGTCAGCTCGCCGATGGTTTCAAATTTATGGCCCGACCTGGGGCTAGCTGGCTGGCTCCTTTGGGCTAGCCGGTTGGCCCTTTTGCCCTTTTTTGTTTGGTGGGGTCCACAAGCCCTTTGGCCTAGCCCTCGGTTGGAGATGGTTTTTGGGCTATTTTCGACCCTCTGGACCCTGCGGTTGAAGATAGCCTAAGAATTATAATTCTTTGAGGACCAAAACGACCCATCTAACCAGCTTTCAGTTGGGGATGGCCTTACATCCCTAGCAACAACAACAACAATAAATATAAAATTGCTAGAGGAAAACCTAGAGAAACCCCTAGGCTTGAAAAAGCAGAAAATGGTTTAGAACTCAACCTTTCACCTATTCAGCCGGATATGTGGCCTGAAGCAGTTGATAAATGGGAAGACGCACTTAAGCGTGAATATGTTAGATTAACAAAGACTTTCTCCAAAACTGAAGATTTATGGGAATGGGGAGAATCGTTCTTAGGTCAAGATTTTAAGAAGGCCTATGAAAATTTTAGGTTCAGATACCCTGAAACTATACAACACAGGATATCTCAAGATTTAAATATAAATAACTTTGTTAATACAGTTAGAGAAATAGCCACCGGTGATACTAGTCCTTACAGACTTAGTTCACCAATTCAGAAACGCGCTATAGACGCTTCAATAGGAAGAACGTTACTGCTTTTTCTAAAGAGTTTTTAAGACTTGCTAGTATAGGAGGAGTAGTTTATGATAAACCAGTTTGCGTTTTATATCTTGCAAAATTGGTTCAAGATCTAGGACAAGCAATTAAGGATAGATTTTATAAAGAAGAAGAAGCAGCTCTAGCAGCAGCAACCACTGACGAACAGCGTAAGATTTTGAATACTTTTAAATATTCTAATCTTAGCTATGTTATAAGATTCACCTTTTTGCAGCTTGCTGATTTCTGCAGACAGCGTTAAGAAATCCAACAAGCTAAGAAGCTTATAGACCAAAGTACATGTAGAGGTTTATGTCAAGAAGGATATAGTGATCTTCGTGAAATTATATAAAAGAACGAAGAGAAAACAAGTTAGACGTCCAGTTCAAAAATAAAATAGAACTACACAACCATTTAGGCAACCGTTCAACAGACGACCTAATTTTAGGACGTTTAAGAACATTAGGCCTAGTCAGAATTTTAGGAGAAATTTCAATCCTAGGAAGCATGTTAAGAAATTTAAACCTAACCCTAGGAAACCATATAAAAATAAGTGTGCCAGCTATATATGTAATAGCGAAGAACATCTCGCCAATGTATGTCCACAGCGAGGTAAGCAACCAGCCTATAACCAGTTGCTTAATGAATGCATTATTATTTCAGCAGATTCTGATTATGACAGTGATGATTCTGTTTATAGTATTTTCACTGATGTAGAATTTATAGATGCTCAAGATGACTCCCTATCAGAGTTCTCTGGGTATGACGATGTACAGCCTGAAGACGAAGAATATGAAGACTTCGACTTCTTGCCAAGCGAATCTGGAGACTTCAATATTGATAGTTTTCAGAACATGATAGATGGCCTGTGAACATATATTCACACCATATGAAGGAAGCCTCGATGAGCGGTGCCGTTTTTGTGGAGGATGGCCTGGTTACGAGTGTAAGGTTAGATGTAGTACTTGTAAAACTATTGGATGTTTTATGTGTACTAAGTTTGTGAAACATACCCCTGTTGCACAAGAAGACCAGTCGATCAAGGAACGCAGTCTTGAACTTGATATACGAGCACGAGACTTACGTATTCGAGAGTTATAATTAGAAAATAAGGCTTTAAAACTAGAAGTAGCAGCCTTAAAACTAGATGTATCTACCCAATCTCAAAGGATTATAGATCTTGAGGGTAGACTTAAGTTTTTAGAAAACGTTGTCCAAGAGAATTTAATGCTCAAGGATAAAGTTAAAAGATTAGAAAAAGAGTTAGAAGACGTAAAAGCCAGGGCAATATTCGTACCTGAAGAACATCAACTCACAGCTCAGGATATAGACTCTGAACCTTGAGTTTCCTTATTATTGTGTTTTTTTCTCAATTATTTTGTTTTTCTGTTAATTCTTTTCATGTTTTTACATAGATTAGTTTATTTATCTTAGTTCAGGTTGTTTTTTATCTTATAGTTTATTCTTTTTGTCGTTACTTTATCTTTGTTTTATTCTCCACACCTTGAGGACAAGGTGCAACATAAGTTTGGGGGTGAGAAAGTAAAATTTTAGGATTTTAATTTTTGTGTCAAGTTAAAAATTTTCATTTTTTTAAAGTTAATATCCATAGTCTATTTTAAACGTTAGAACAAATAGACATGGTGAAGGTTAATCTTACATTAGAGTCTTTTATATTTATCGCTGGTTAGACACTAATTCATGAGTTATACTTTGAAAATTTGCACATTCACATCAACATGGTTTGTGAGGAGTGAGATTGAAACACTTACTTTTAGTCTAAGTTTATTTTTAATTTTTGTTCTAAATAAATTGAAGTTTATTTGTTATAAATAAAGTAATAATTGTTCCACCCGAGGCTTTGCTTAATAACCGGGTCAGTCCTACCTAATTAGCAATGATTCTCGTGTCAAACGGTAAAGTTTTGGCATGGGGTAGGGTGGTTAGTTGGTTTCGTAGCCTTTTTAGCTTGAGTTAGTAAGTTCTTAGGGGTGTTCTACACCTTGTGCCCTAAAGCCCTTATGGTTTGGGAGTCGTTGACTTAAAGCTCGTTACATGAGTTGGATCGAAAGCTTAAGTGAACTGACATTGCACGACTACTACTATTACTGAAAAAAAATGGAAAAAGAAGAAAAAAATAATAAAAAAGGATAAAAATTGAAAAAAAAAAATATAATAGTTACGTTTCAAGTTAGTATGTGCAAAGTGTTGAATAAAAAGGATGAGAGGTAAGGTTTTAGTCGAGTCTCTTTAACTATGTTGGTTCACTTTACACCAAGGGAAGTTTATGAATTCTTTTTTAATTGATTCTAAATGGCTGTAGACATCAAAATTTCGGTGAAATGAATGTTGACCAATAATTAAAATTTCAACGCTCACGTGTCACATAAATTTTACATGTAGCGTGTGACTCAACGAAAAATCGAAATAAATTGGAAAAGTCATCAAATAGGACACGTGTCAATACCTGGCAGAAATGATTTATTTTATCTGATTATTTAAATCCAAAAATCAAGTTTTGGAATTCTATAAATAGGAAGCCAAGGCATTCATTTTGAGGAGGAAGAAAGGAAGGGAAATTGATATCACACCAAAACCTTGAAGCTTTGAAACTCTAAAGCTCTCAAGCAAATCCCGAAGGATAAAAAAAAGCTCTCTTCGTTCTTCGTTAAGTCTTCCTTCAAGATCAAGCCCCGACGGCCCTTGAAGAAATCCGCACAACCATTCTTCAAGATCAAGCCCCAACGGCCCTTGAAGAACTTCCACCAACTCAAGATCAAGCCCCGACGGCCCTTGAGGAAAGTGTTCATCGTTCATCATCCGTTCATCCTAAGATCAAGCCCCAACGGCCCTTTGGATCAACAACCTCAACAAATCCACACATCCAATCGTTCTTCAAGATTAAGCCCAAAAGCCCTTGAAGATCCGCTCATCCATCAACCTTCAAGATCAAGCCCCAACGGCCCTTGAAGAACTTCCACCAACTCAAGATCAAGCCCCGACGGACCCTTGAAGAAAGTGTTCATCGTTCATCATTCATCATCCGTTCATCCTAAGATCAAGCCCCAACCGCCATTTGAATCAACAACCTCAACAAACTCATACACCCATTCTTCAAGATCAAGCCCCGACGGCCCTTTGGATCAACAACTCATCCACAAACCTACACCCTACGAAGATAGAATCAGAGGATCAAATTACAAAGAGATTGTAACCCCAAAATCATTAATACAAAAATATATTTTGTACACGTATTCTTGTTTCTTGTTTCAGGAATTTTTCGTGTTTACAATGGCTTAGACTCTGTAGTGGGATTAGTTGGAAGTTTTGAAAAGATGTTCTGATTTTTAATGTTTTCTATGGCTTGCAACTTAAAGTGAAATTTGTCTTAGTCAAGTTTTACTTAAGTTTCTAGTTTGCTAGCTTTTATTTTTGTTTTTTTAAGTTTTGTTTTGCTTGAGGACAAACAAAAAGTTAAGTTTGGGAGTATTTGATGAGTTGATATTATACTATATATTTTACCCTTATCTTAGTATTAATTTATTGGTTATTTTGTGTGAAAATTGATACTCTGTTATGTATTTTTAATGTAGGACATTCGACTTTTTCTGGAGCAACACATGATGCAACGGACGAATTTTGGGTTAGAGCTCTTCTGTAATTATGTTCGGGACATCTCAAGCTTTAATTCTAGCCTTTTTGGGCCTGTTTTGGAGCCTTGGAAGTAAAAAAATGTGGCTGATTTGTGGCTGGACAGATTTCCCAAAGTTAGAATAGGAATGTATTTCCTAATTATCTTATTTTATTATATTTTCTAGTTTTTAGAAGACCTGTTCTACTAAGGATTTTAATTATGTAATAGTATAAATAAGGTTTTTTAGCCATTAGGGTTAGAGGACAAAAAGAGAGGAGAAGAACACATAAAATTTTGGAGAACTTTGCTAGGCTTTGAAGATTTGTATTTCAATGTGTTTTCTATCCTTATTTTTAATAATATTTTATTTTATGATTGGTAGTAACTAATTTCCGTTTGTTAGGGCGAGACTATGAGCCTTAGCAAGAATACATAATGTTTTGAAGTTTAAGAGATTATCTATTTAAATTAAACTTTGTAAATCATATGATGTGGTTATTAATGATTAAATTATTATTTAAGAGTTAATTAAAAGTATTTATCTAAATATTTTTTATTTTTAAAGTAGATTTATAAATGTGATTTGAAAAATTGATCTATTTAACATTAAAATAGTTAAAAAGCATTTATTTTTATATCTCAAAAGTCTTCAAGTATAAAAAAAAAATTCAAAAGACTTATAATTTCAATAAACAATAAGAGCGTTTATTCAAACATTTTCGAAACTTTGGGTTTGAATAATCTACTCGTAATATAATATCGCTTGTATAAAGCATAAAATAAGTCATTAACCACGTCAGATGGAAAGTATCAGAATATATAGATTTTAGAGGCGTGTCAAGCACCATGATGAATGATGATGCCAAGCTGCCAACAGCAAAGTTTCTTAACCAGTTAACTCCTCGCGCTAAAAGTCAAGAGCAGAGCACACGCCTAATGCCAGCCAACCAGAAAATATGTCAGAATAATTCATCGCCAGAAAAATGTTAACAAAGATTAGAGGAATCCCTGTTTAATTAATGGGAACTTTAATGAAAAGTTTCCGGTACTTTTTATTTTAACAAAAAACTACATTTTTACACTAAAAAAATCTATCATGATACTATTTACTTTACCCTTTATTTTGTCCTTATCGTTGAAACTTAAAGTTTTCAAGTTATTTTCATTAATTTTCCTTTAATTCATTCATTCATCTGTCTAAAAACCTTACAAAAACTACAAGCAGTGGATCGCCTTAGTAGATAAGGCATTCCGCTTCAACAAGCTGCATCTCATTCATTCTTTTAGTCTAGCTTAGAGTAAAAATATCGCTTGCGAGAAGCCATATCACATGGGTTGGTTTATCGGAGAAAACGGTTGGTCACCGGCATATGATGTGTCCACCGACTTCCCTTGTGCATGCAAATGGTCGGTCAGCTTGAATATTACACAAATATAAATGAAAACCAAATTCAACTAGAAAATCATAAATGCTTGAAAGAATATGAAGCATAAACCAACGGTTTTCTTTCTCATATGCTGCATCACGTTTCCACGATAACAGTAAAAAGTTGTGCATCAATCCATCATCCAGTGATATTTACATAGTAAACACGCAAATAAACTACATGAAACATCTGGAATTCCACGCACCTAGAAACGAGGAGCTTATTACCGACCAGCTGATGGATTTGTCAACATTTCAAGCGATTTTATCAAGTGATCTACTGCAACTGGCACGTCATCAAATGCCAACGCTCCAACTGCAAATCTTGCAGCCTTATGTGCCTCGGCAATTTTCTCAGGTGATGGCTGGTAGCTACTGTCATACTGGTACGTCTTGGCAGGGGCAGGAGGAGGAGCAGGTTCTGAAACAGTTCCATTTCTGTTGCTTGTCTGATATTGGGTAGTTGAAGGGTGGTTTGTTGTCGGAGGAGCTGACGGGGGAGAGTAGGCAGGGTCAGAGCCCTGATAATAAGAGGGATAGTGGGATGAGACTGCTGGAATATTGGTTTCTGTAAAACTTGGATAAGATTGAAAATTAGGATAAGAGTAATTAGATTCATGAGGAGGATAGTTAGGTGGCAAAGGCTGTTGGGGTTCGTGCGAGTAGGATTGCTGGTGGTATGGCTGAGAAAAATCAGACGTTTCTGGTCTATTTGTTGGAGGAGGTGGATGAAAATCATGGGAAGAGTAACCAGCAGTAGGGTAAGACTGAGGTGGCGGTGGCGCATTGTTTGCAGAATGCTGGCCATTGACTTCATCATGGAACTTAGGTGGCGACTGAAGGCTAGTAGAACGCTGGAATTTGGCATCATCACGAAACTCAGACGGTGCAATGTTTGTAGGATGCTGATCTTGAAACTGCGGGGGTGCAGTTTTTATAGAATGCTGCCTGTTAATTTCATCATAAAACTGGGGTGAGGGATCAGATTGTGATCCAGGACTGGTAACTGCAGCATCGCTTGGACCAAGATCCTGCAAGGATAGAAATAGTTGAAGACCATTTTATACAATAAACAAAACCACTAACACGAACACATTTTACTTTCTCAGTATATACTACAATTGTTTTAACATATACTCTTACTCAAATCATAAGATTGTACCACCACAATCTTATGCCTAGAAGTTATAAATTTAGAATTGTTGTCGTAATTTTATACTTTGTTCTCTTTCCTGGTTGGAATTTTTACAACTTTGTTCTCAATGGTGAAAAACTAAGGAATCATTTCAAATAGGTTATATATTCAAAGATATCAAACCATTCAACGAGAAAACCTTGATTCATCCAAAAGGCTCAAAAATAAACTACTGTAAAGGTTATAAGCATACATATGAACCACTCATTCCACTTGATGGAAGTGAGAGATCATCATCACCAGCAGGGGGGCCCGCTTGAGGCTTTCTTCCTTCTTTCAAGGCCTTCCTTATATCTGCTGCTTTCCAAGCTGCATACTTTTGTTTCTGCTCAAGCTGTAAAAGATCATAAAGATGTCAGTCACCCTCAAAATCCAACTGTATAACCTTCGAGTTAGTAATAACATACCGAAAAGAAAAATGTACACCACAAATCATTTAGATGGAGTCATCTAATCCTAACAAAAAGGATAATGACACATCAAGTGGCATTGCGAAATAGAATTAGAAACTCACATCAGGCTGAACCACGCTGAATTGGTTAAGAATCTCAAAGAAAATGCTTGCAGCATAGAATGTTTTTGCAGTAGTCCTGCAACAAGCTCAAAAGAATATTTTTGTATCACATGCTATTAACAATTTCCACATAAAATATAAATATGTCAAAAAACATGAGCCGACAAGCACAAGGGACAGGAGGAGCTCTGCATTTCATGAAACCTAGAGGTGTAGTGTTATGACACCTCAAAGTCTCAAGGGACACATTGACTTACAAATCTGCTCGACCAGCACGATCTTGCTTGTCTGCCTTGCCAAAAACATTTAAGGCAAATCCCTCAAGGTACAGATTGTCTTCAGGCCCCAACTTTAGTGACTTCTTATCCTACAGAGCAAAAGGGTGAGTATACATTGAGATGGGGGAACAAAAATCTACGAATCTTATCACAAAATAATTTGTCAAAAAGATCAACAGGACAAGTCATCTGGTAAAAATTCAAGACCAATCATGGGAGACATTACAAGACAATTAAAGCAACAACAATCAAATTTCATTTTCCACTAAAAAGTAACCATCTTTGGTCCCTAAAGAGTAATCTGAGTCTCCATGGACGAACCTCCAACTGTATATTTATAATCATACGTAACCCGAAGATTCTTAGCAATGAACTGGTAGGCAATAGACAAATGCTCTTGTTGTTTAAAATCAACCACTACATCACTAAAGAAACCAAATACGAAAATTTGCAAGGGCATCCCATGGAGCAGAAACATATCATAGATTCAATTGCAAAATAAATTCCAAAATCTTAATTTCGCCACTGATGCTAGGCAACGGGTAATCCCATTGTTGCATAGAGCAACTAAAAATCGAGGTGAATTAAGATTTTTGTACCGAATATCAAAGTATAAGACCATACAAAGGTTGAGTTTTTCCCAGATACCAAACAGACCCAGTTGATGAAACAAATTAAAACAAAAGACCATCTTTCCAAAACAGAAAAACGTTAAAAAGAATCAGTTAAAAGGAAGACAGAAAGAACCTTTTCAAGCTGCTTCATGAGGGAAACGAGGAGGGAATTCGTGGTCTTGGTACGCTCGCTCTGTGGGATCTTCAACCCTCGCTCCATTGCGTATAATCGACCTAAATTCCATTCAAATTTTTAAAAATTGAATTGTCAGAAATATGATTTTTAGAGATAACAACCCGTAAAATTTCAGTTTTGTTTAAAGAGCGAGAGAGAGAAAGAGTTACAGTAATAAGCGACGAGAGGCTCGTGTTTCTGCAACTCGTCGGCGCGCTGGAGGTACGGCAACAGCAGCTTCGCCGGCTCGTTGTCGCTCGCCATCTATGCCTTCCTTCTTCCTCTGTTCGATCGATTCGACAGAGAGAGACGATTTGGGACGATTTGGGCGAGGCAAAAGCTTTGAGTACCAAGGCAGAGAGAGAGAGAGAGAGTCTACACTCTACAACGGGTCTGACGTCTGATCGTCTGAGAAGAGTATCTTCGGACGCCGACGTCGTCAATGCTTAAGAAGAAAGCAAGTGATTACGCGGGTTTGCGGGTTGATAAACCCAACGGGCCACCTTATTGTCAAAATGTAATGGGCCATGAAGTATACGGCCCAAAATTACTTTGATTCTCGACTTAGCAATGCCCCCATTCCACTCGTCTTGTTATCCACAACTTTTGCGTGCAAGCCCCACATCGATTGCGTGCATGCCCCGCAACTTCCCCATCAGTCCTCTCGCCCGCCTACCCCAGAAAACGTATCCAAGCGTATGTGAGTCGAAAGTATGTCGTATTCATTCTCGTATCCCATATGCGACAGAATTGCTGTATTCGTGCATCGTAGTATTTAATATACAACATAACATATCCTTGCATACATAACATTATAATGATCAAAGATCTAAAAAATTAGGCACGTGGAGAGTAAGACATACAACATCTCAGCAACAAGGAATGGATGAAGCCAATTTTGAGTTGCTTGGGCACACTATTCCTGTAGCTAAGCCTGTCATTATCAGAATCCTATTAACATTTGATGTGCAATTCAACTGGTTTTGTAATCAGTTAGATATTAGCAATGCTTTCCTTCATGGGGATTTAAAAGAAAAACTGTTTATGGTGCAGCCTCTTGGATTTCAAGATCCCTCTCTTCCACATCATGTATGTAAGCTTAAGAAATCATTGTATGGTCTTAAACAAGCCCCTAGGGCATGGTTTGAAAAGTTGTTTCAGGCTCTCAGATCTCTTGGTTTTACTCAATCATCCTCTGATGCCTCTTTGTTTGTACTAAAAGTTCCAACCATGGTTATTGTGCTGGTTTATGTTGATGATATTCTTATTAGTGGTCCTAATGCTTCACTCTGTCAACAACTTATTAAAAAGTTGAGTACTCTATTTCTAGTCAAAGATTTAGGACCTTTACACTATTTTTTGGGCTTGGAAGTTCACAAAACCAAAGATAGTCTTTTTCTGCATCAAGACAAGTATTTACTTGATCTTTTACAAAAGAATAACATGGATGGAGCTAAACCATGTCATACACCCCTCAATTATGCAAAGTTGGATCACAGTGGTGACTTGTTACCTAATCTCACTGAATATTGCTTTCTAGTTGGTGGCTTGCAATATCTCACTTGGACTCGACTTGATATTTCTTTTCCTGTCAATTAGGTGTGTCAGTTTATGCATGCACCAACAGTTACACATATGCAAGCAACCAAAAGGATTTTAAGATTCCTCAAGGGCACTATCACTCAAGGTCTTTTGTTCAAACAAAGTCCGTTACATCTTTCTGCCTACTCGGATGCAGACTGGGCTGGCTACACCATTGATGGACAATCTACTAGTGGTTTTTGTGCCTTTTTGGGTTCTAACTTGATTAGTTGGTGTGCAAAGAAACAAACCACAATGGCTCGTTCATCCATTGAAATAGAGTACAAGTCTTTGGCTCAAGCTGCATCAGAGATTACTTGGATATGCAAAGTGTTGAAAGATTTCTATTTTCCCATGACTACTAAACCTACTATCTGGTGTGATAACATCTCGGCCATATCTATTGCTTTTAATCCTATTTTTCATGCTTGTACTAAGCATGTTGAAATAGACTACCACTATATTAGGGAATTGGTTCTTGCCAACTTGATTAAAGTCCAGTATGTGTGTAGTCAGGATTAGATTGCTGACATTCATACCAAGTCCTTGTCTAGATCCAGATTTCAGTTTCTACAATCCAAGCTCTCACTTGGAATCTTGCCTTCTTCCAAGTTTGGCTTGAGGAGGTGTAAAGATGAAGATGACAAGTCATGACAACATATGGTTATTAGTTTGTTATAGTTTCATTGTAAAGTATTCAGTTTTATTTTGTTAGAGTGAGAGAGTATGTTTTGGTTAGTTAGAGAGAGAGAGAGAGAGGAAATAGTCAAAGGCTATATATTAGTGATTGTATTATTCATTTAGTTTAATAAGAAAATATACTTTTCTTAATGTCTAAGAAAAACTTACAGAGAAAGCCTTGAGTTTCTATACCTTTAACGACACCTACTGCCCTCGCGTGGAGGTATAATGGTAAATAAACAATTACTAAGGTACTATAATTATCGGAAGAGGATCCTCTCCTGATCACAAAATCCGAGCCGTTCAAAATTAATCCAACGGTTCTAAACATGGAGTCCTCTAAAAGTTATAATAATTGCAATCATTGGATTAAATTTGAACGGTCTGAATTTCGTGATTAGAAGGATCCTCATCCTGTGCTCAAAAGAGAATCCTCTTCCATATTTTTCGGTGAACACTGTTCAATACATCGAGAATCATAATATAAATAATTGAATCTCGATGTACTGAAACGTGTAGCGTAAAAAAAAAAAAAAATCTCCCAAATATGAGGGGCAAAGCGCGAGCCTACGGAAAGAAATACTTTCTCCACTCACACACACTGCACAGTGACAGAGCGCACTAAATTCCGATTCGATCAAAAAAAATAGAAAAAACAAAACAAAAACAAATGAATGTCGATAGGATGTTCCTTCACAAAGTCTATCATCGCTTCTCCCTCCTCTCCCTCACTCCCCCTCACTCACTCCCTTTCAAGCCTCTCCACTTCACATCGGTCCTTTCGCCCGCCCACCTCAGAACAAGGCGCTCCCCATACGACGTTGTAAGGTCCATCAGAACATCCGCCGCCCCCATGGCCACCTCGCGGCTCCGCAACCTCGTCCGCGTCAACGCTGGCGCTTCCGAAGATGCCAGCGATGGCGGAGCCACCAACGGCTCTGTCTCTTCCACTGCAGCTGCCGCTTCACTTGACGGTGAAGGTATTCCATCACAATCCACACATATACTTTGTGCTCGTGTATATTTTTGTTGAATATGGATTTGTATAATCTGTATCTGTTTGAACCCCAAATCTGGGTTGAAGTTTGAAAGTTTTGATTTTCTTGCTTGCTCTCGTAACTTTGTTTGGTTGGTTAATTGGATTTCAATTGGTTGTGAACTTAAATTCGAAGAATTCTGTGCTAGTAATTCGTATGTATATATATGTTTATGCAGAAGATGCGACTTTGGGAGTTAGATACCGTCTTCCTCCGCAAGAAATCAAAGATATTGTGGATGCTCCGCCACTTCCCGCCTTGTCATTCTCACCGTGTAGGGATAAGATACTGTTTCTCAAGCGGAGAGCGTTGCCACCATTGGCAGAACTTGCAAGACCCGAGGAAAAGCTTGCCGGTGTTCGTATTGATGGAAAATGCAATACAAGGACAAGGATGTCGTTTTACACGGGTATTGGGATCCATCAATTTTTGCCTGATGGCACCCTTGGTCCGGAGATAGAGGTGCGTGGATTCCCTGATGGTGCCAAGATCAATTTTGTTACTTGGTCCCCGGATGGCCGCCATTTGGCCTTCACCATCCGGTTTGATGAGGGGGAAAGTACTACTAGTAAGCTTAAAGTGTGGGTGGCCAAAGTTGAAACAGGGATTGCTAAACCTTTGTTTAAGTCGGAAGAAATATTTTTGAATGCAGTTTTTGATAATTTTGTTTGGGTGAATGATTCTTCTTTGTTAGTTTGCACCATTCCTCAGTCTCGTGGCAACCCGCCAAAGAAACCTTTGGTTCCTTTTGGGCCTAAAATTCAATCTAATGAGCAGAAAAGTATTATCCAAGTTAGGACCTTTCAGGATTTGCTGAAGGATGAGTATGATGAAGATTTGTTTGACTACTACGCCACGACACAACTTGTTTTGGCCTCCTTGGATGGGGCGGTTAAGGAAATTGGTCCTCCAGCTGTATATACATCAATGGACCCCTCTCCCGATCAGAAATACCTTTTAATTAGTTCAATTCACAGACCATACTCTTTCATTGTACCATGTGGAAGATTTCCCAAGAAGGTGGATGTGTGGACAGCTGATGGGAAGTTTGTTAGAGAAATTTGTGATCTGCCCCTTGCTGAGGACATCCCCATTGCATTCAGTAGTGTGCGAAAAGGGAAGCGTTCTATCAACTGGAGAGCAGATAAACCATCAACACTCTATTGGTATGCATTTTCAGTCCTGTTTTCAAACTGTTTGGATAACTCAAGTGACATCTCTTTGAGTTGTTATCTCACTCTCACTCTCACACTCTCTCTCATGATATCATAACAAGTACTCGATAAAGACTTTTTATGGAGTAGTGTACATGATACGCTGTAGACTGTAGTAATAGTTAGTTTTGTATGCTTTTATAAGTTGAATATATTTCTAATGTGTGCGCTTCAAAATGAAAAAGCAGAACAACAGTCTAAACTGTTGTAATTCCACATCATTGTTACTAAACTATCCAAGCATTTATCTATAATGTCTTTAGATTTTTATTTCTTAATTTTAACTTTGTCCCTACAGTCATTCGCATCATCCTAAATGCATTTGTGATATGCAATAAGTTACAGAAGCACTTTCCATTCACCAAATATAGGACCTGGCCTCAGGCCAACTTCTTGTTCAATTTTTGTCGTGTTTCGGGCTAGGCTCATTAAGAGTTTGACATCTCCAAGCCGAAACCTAACCCATGGCCAGGTCTACATATGACTTGTACATAGTTGTTTGTGTATATGATTTCAGTTACCTGATTGACACTGTGACTTTACTAGGGTTGAGACCCAAGATGAAGGAGATGCAAAAGTGGATGTTTCTCCACGTGATATAGTTTATACACAGTCCGCTGAGCCACTTGAAGGTGAAGGGCCAACTGTCCTACACAAACTTGATCTTCGCTATGGGTATGAAGTTGAACTGTTATTATATTTTTTATCATCTATTGGCATCAATGATATTTCTGTTTTATTGGGGTTTTTGGAAGAATTATTGTCCAAGGGAACTTTTTCTCCTTTCTCCAGAAGACTTCTAAAACTGTGCTACGCTTAAGAAGCTTCATGGTGGTCCCAACACTAACCATACTTGTTTTATGCATTTGAACTTTTCAATTTCACAGAGGGATTTCTTGGTCTGATGATTCACTGGCTCTAGTTTACGAGTCTTGGTACAAAACACGGCGAACGAGAACCTGGGTAATTTCTCCTGGATCAAATGATGTCAGTCCGCGCATCCTGTTTGATAGATCGTCAGAAGATGTGTATTCTGATCCTGGCTCTCCTATGCTGCGGAGAACTCCTGCTGGGACATATGTGTTAGCAAAAGTAAAGAAAGAAAATGAGGAAGGCACTTATTTACTGCTGAATGGAAATGGTGCTACACCAGAGGGAGATATCCCATTCCTCGACTTGTTTGACATGTAGGTTTTTTATAATTTCTTGTTTCTATTGCATTCTCATGTGCTCATGTGTGTTTGGTGTCTTAAACCAAATTCTTCCAGAAATACAGGAAACAAAGAAAGAATATGGAAGAGTGACAAAGAAAAGTATTACGAGACTGTTGTTGCTTTAATGTCTGATGAGGAAGAAGGGGATCTGCTCATCGATCACCTGAAAGTATTGACTTCCAAAGAGTCAAAAACTGAAAACACCCAGTATTCTATCCTAAGCTGGCCAGAAAAGAAAGCAGTCCAAATTACAAATTTTCCTCATCCATATCCACAGCTGGCATCATTGCAGAAAGAGCTGGTCAAGTACCAGAGGAAGGATGGGGTTCAACTAACTGCAACGCTATACCTTCCACCAGGTTATGATCCAGCCAGAGATGGCCCTCTTCCATGTCTGTTCTGGTCTTACCCTGGAGAATTCAAAAGCAAAGATGCTGCTGGACAAGTTCGTGGTTCTCCTAATGAATTTGCTGGCATAGGTCCCACATCAGCTCTCCTCTGGCTGGCTCGAAGGCATGCATTACCTCTTCCCATTGTTTTATTACTATGTTTTGGTGATTCTGTGTATAATAGTCTTTGTTTAGAACCCTTTTGGTGTCCGGATTGTTTTAAACATGTTGACCAATTTTTGATTGCTCGGAATCGTGCAGGTTTGCTATTCTGTCTGGACCAACAATTCCTATTATTGGTGAGGGTGATAAAGAAGCAAATGATAGGTAACTTGTTTTTGCATATGTAATAACCTGGGTTTCTGCTTCCAGCCAAAATTAATTATAATTTTCTGTATGAACTCATTAGCATTTCTCCGAAGGTTAGTGACAGAAGATGATTCATATATCATAAATCCATCGAATTGTTAACTGGGTAAAAAATGGATAAGATACTCCCAAAGTGCCTCTAATGCTTTAGTGTTTTTCAACAATTTATAATGTATATAATTTGACCAGCTATGTGGAGCAATTGGTTGCAAGTGCAGAGGCTGCTGTGGAGGAAGTTGTTCGACGTGGGGTAAGCTTCTCCACTTTTGCAGTATGAATCTTTTGAGATTCTGACTTAATAATGTTGACCTGAACCTCTTCTGGTGCTACCCTTATTAAGGTGGCTCATCCAGACAAAATTGCTGTTGGTGGACATTCATATGGGGCATTCATGACTGCAAACCTCTTGGCACATGCCCCTCATCTTTTTTCTTGTGGAATTGCTCGTTCTGGTGCTTACAACAGAACACTTACTCCTTTTGGTTTTCAGGTAGCTTATGAGAAATTGATTTAAATATATACACGGATATGTGTGTTCTGATATTTTCTCTTTCCATGCCATAAGACCTAGGTAATTACTTTACCTTTTGTTTTAATGGCCTGACTCTTTGGTTTATCGGTGCAGAACGAGGATAGAACTCTTTGGGAGGCTACCAGTACTTATGTAGAGATGAGTCCTTTCATGTCCGCTAATAAAATTAAGAAGCCAATCTTGCTTATCCATGGAGAAGAAGACAATAATTCTGGAACTTTGACAATGCAGGTAAAGATGTCGCTCACCCCTTTAATGCTGAGTTGCTTGATGAATTTCTTCCTGTTTGTGAGCTGTCGACTTGTGATTTCATTTATGTTAGTGTGTTATACAGTCGGATCGCTTCTTTAATGCTCTGAAAGGTCATGGTGCTCTGTCCCGCCTTGTGATTCTTCCATTTGAGAGCCATGGATATGCAGCAAGAGAGAGCATCATGCACGTGCTATGGGAAAGTGATAGATGGCTTCAGAAATATTGCGTATCAAACACTTCCAATGTAAATGCAGATTCCGATGCAAGTAAAGAGAACTTAGGCACAGGATCTACAGTTTCCGTAAGCAAATCAGTGGCTGCTAGTGGAGGCGGTAGTCCAGAGGTGTCAAATTCTGAGCATGAAGGATTTGACTCGTTGCCGAGGTCATCGTTATGGTAATTTCTTTAATCTTGCAGAAATAGAGGGACATAACTAAATTAACTCTGAAAAGAAAAGAAGCAAGATAATTATTTCAATATCTCTTTACACTATCTATCCTCTTAAAAGGATCCGAACCTTGGAGTCTCAGTTTTCCTCATCTATTCGTTACCATAAATTCCTTTTCTTAAATCTTGGGTTTTCTACTTACGTATTTGTCTCGAATGATTATCCTGTAGAAAAAATTGCAGATCGTGGCTTCTGAGAACTAGTTGGCACATCAGTGTGGTGGACAAAATTGATGGCACAAGATTGCCCTGTCAAAGTGCGAAGGCAACGACTCTTCCTCGTTGAACTGCAATTTGTATTTGTCACAATTGCTATGTATCATTTATAATTGTATCCCAAACTTCTTTCGCTCCAAAATCCTTCCAGTTGATGGATGTTTAGCAGCCAATTTCTGGGAGAGGGGGTTGGGGTTATAAACTTATACGTGTTCCATAACTTCCATCTGTCGCTTTTGATGTCATAAAGCTCTTGAACGAAAAATAACGTTACACAGACAATCCAGTTGCAATATTGAAGAGCTAATTTAGCATTCAGTTATAATTCGATGAAGAAATGCCGTTGGTTGGATAACTTTGATTTCAAAATAAAATGTACTTTGACCGACAACGTAAATGCTCAAGAGAATCGTACCATCCTCATGAAACTTATCACGCTCGATTCAATTGTACAAAACAGAGGTAGAGCAACCATAAATGCAATCAAAAGGAAGCAAATATCAGTAACATACTTTGGTTTTTGAAGTAATACTCTAATCCAGAACAGTCGATAAACTCGATAATTTCAAGACCCAAACTAAATGGAAAGGGAGAATGATTAACTGGGTGTTGGATTCATGGTCGGAACTACGAATATCTATTCTTCAACGACCACACTGATTTCACCCTTCTCGAGCAAGTCGTAGAACGCCCTCACTTTCCTCTGCTCATTCCAGTGATGCATTTTCCACAGACTTCCACAAGCCAAAGCAAGCACCGATCCATACAATATCTCCTTGACAACACTTGGACCTTTCAATGTGGCATGAGCAATCTTGTGACCCGCCATTTTGCTTGATCTGCAATTAGGAAAGTGTCAAATTATCCATTTCTTACAGATATGATTCTGAATCATCTCAGGTTGGTTGTACATTACAATCAAGTGAGGATTATATCTCTCTAACATAACCGACTCACTAACAGCATCCTAACAATACACCGATCAGTGATCAGATGGTTTAAACTGTGTTACATGTCATCATCTTCAATTGACATTGACCCTCACAAACATATAGAATCCTGTGACGCTCGGCATCACCTTAACTCTATATACTCTAACAGATTGAACCCCAAAACAGGAGGCCTTGGATTTAGGTACTCCATATACTCTAACAGAATAAACCGTAAAATAAAACAAGAGGCCTAGGATTTAGGTGAAGTAATCAATAGGCTGTCTGCAAAGGAGAATGTATCGAAGAACAGTTATAAAAGCATGCTAAATTTTTTATCCCTGCGAGGTTACCACAATCGGACTATGGCATCTAACTTTATGCCCAAAAATTGGAGGTCTCAGGTTTGATTCTAGCCAAACACGAGTTTGACCCATATTATTGTTAGCCCATTGTGAGGATAACACAAAAAACACAAAAAACACAAAAAAATTGAACCTTTCAATAGGATGCCTAGAAAATTTAAACCCACCGAATACTTTCGGGATAAAATTGAAAAGACTTTTGTCCTCGTGAAGAAATCGTTTCTTTAAGTCGGAATCTAAAGTTGTCTGTAAAATCCATGAAATTTTCCTGAGTGTTCTATGCTTTCTGGGTGCAGTGAACCAGAGATTGATTTTCTCCAATCCCTTCATCCCAAGATCCAATTTTTCCATCATTTATCACATATTTACAGAACAATTAAACAACTAACCGAACAGAAAAATAAAATATGAAAATTAGTGATCGAAGTCGAATCTACTATAAACGTCAATAACCCGGATTCAAATAGTTGCTTTGAATAAGAAATCATTTCCACAAACCAACAAATACGAATCAAATAAAACAGAGAAGCGAGATCGAATTGTTTGTTAGGGTTTTCACCTGAGAACGAAGAGGCTGCGACGAGAGAGAGAGAGATTGCGAATTCGAAATTGGGGCTTCGTGTAAAGGTCAATCCTTTTCAACCGATCGGCCTCCTCTGAGCCTCCCCTTCCCTCGCGGAGAAAATCTAGGCTCTTCCGAGATTGTGGGCTTCTTATCCCTTTGGGCTTAGATTCTAATTAGCTGGAGTGGGTTATCGTTTTATTGAGCCTTGAGACTGGCCCTTTAAAATCTATGCAGTGTGTTATACTGGAGTTACCTTTTTATCCCTGCTTTTAGCTATTAAAAAGAAGTATTAGTATTTTGCATTTGGTCTCCTTTTTCTTTTTTTTTTGATGGCCACTTATTTTCGAATAAAGTGAACCTCGGTAATTCTATTCAGTTTTTTTTTTATTATTATTATAATATGTATTTTTTCTCGATAGTACGTACCATTGAATGATACAAAATTTAATTTGTTGATATAGAAAATAGATGATCTAATAGCTATGGAAATCAAATCTAATAAAATACTCGAAGCATTAAGTATTATGTAGCCACACTATGTTATCGTAGTTATCTAGTGAGTTCAAGTTAGAGTCGTTGGAGTCGTGTTTGTGTACAAATAGCAATTTGAGCTGCCCAAAACTCTCAAACACAAAAATTCAGTCAGCTTGCTCAACCCACTGGATACTCAATACTTGGCTACTTAAAAAATAAGTAGGAATTCCTAATCAAAATTGTTCGTTGCCAGGTTATAGAAGGTTTAATTTATTTTTTTGCAGATGTAATTTTTACAGAGTAATTCATAATATGAACGATTTTGATTATAAATACAAATATCTGTAATTCGAAACATCTTTATACAAGCGATGTTGAATGATCTATATTTTAAAATCAGTGATTTTGTTTTGTTGTAGGTGAAGAAATTGAGTGAAGTTTGGAATTTGTATTTGGAAATATGAAAATTGCATCATTTCCCACGTTGAAATAAATAATTGGAATTATTTTGAAAATTAGATGCCAAATTTGAGTCAATGGTCGTAAGTGGTGGGCACTTCAAAAGATTAAAAATGGGAACAATCTGGCAAGACTTTAATATGTTAGCACTACCAGCCATGCAGCTACTTGTCCAACTGCCTCAAGTCTTAACCACACAAACTAAAAGGAAGAATATTTTGTCATTTAATACTACGGTGTGATAGTATTTTTTTTTTTACTTAGAAATGAGATGTCTTAGGTTTGAATATCATGGATGACGAATTCACCACCAAATTAGGCTACCCATTATATAGCTTAGCCGAGCTCCTCTTAGTATAAAAAAAATCAATGTACTAAAAAAAAGAATCTTCTAGTAATTTGTAATAATTTAGTGAGAAATGCTAAAGAGAATTCTTCAAAAGTGAGATTCTCTATTGGACAACTTCATGTTTTTGGTATAATGTTTTATAATATTGACATAGAAATTGACGTTAAATTATGAAGTGATACCGAATCTATGAAGATTTCCACTTTGAAAGAATTTCTTTAGCATTTCTCTAATTTGTTTGTTTTGGATTATATATCGACATATGGACACTGCGCTTTGAGCTTTTGTTTTCCTCTTTATGTATTTTTCCCCTAACCTAATCATTCATGGTTAGTAATACCAACATGATGGCACACATATAAAAGTGATTGTAATACAATTAATTCAAAAGGCACAAAAGGAAATTTGATTTCTATCCCCTTTAAGAAATGATTGCTTATTTGAAAGATGTTGACGGGTATTGAAAATTCTCTGTGTTTAGTAATATATAATATTAGAGTTACTTTCATTCTCGACTACCTTTGCGTTTCCTAATGCCTAAGGCCAAAGCCTCACCCCACCCCACCTCCTCACCCCACGAGGTAAGGAGTTTGGTTAATGAATCTTCAAGTAAGTTTTTCTAAAAAAAAAGTGAGTTTTTGGAGCTTAAGAGCGTAACAAAAGCTTAACAGAATTTGTTGGAAATAGGGTATTTATAGGGAGATGGTCGGCTTAGGTATAGGGTTTTGTCATTCCCGTTGTGGCTTTCCATTGACGAAGGTGAGAAAAGAATAATCTCAAAATTTTTAATAATGACGTAATATCTCGGGATGATCATAGTGACATTTTTAATTGAATGTGATAAAGATTCTTACTTGTTTGAGTTGATCTTCAATTTAAGAAAGTATTAGAGATATGATTTGACAAGTAATCATATCTTTAATGCCTTCAATTTTTCTTTCTTGCCTCGAGCGGGAGAGCTTGGTGGTGTCGTAGTTAGTTGCTTAAACCTTGATGATATTAGACTGGTTGTAAGAATATTTGTAGACATGCCCATTTAATAAGAACATCCTCACCTTATTCGGAAAAATGTCTTTGCTAATTTCGATCTTATTCCTGACCCGATTTATGACTTCCCGATGCAAACACCGGGGAAACAAAAAAAATTAGATTTGACTATAACAAATTCTTGATCTCATTTCCATTCATTTTTAGACATTATTTTCTGTATTCTTGATTTTCTATGTATTATTGTTTCGATAAAAAGAAAATGTTCACGGTGGGGACCACAATGTTTCGAGTAAAAAGTAAACCCTCGAAACCTCGTCTTTCCCTCACCTCGTTCTTTTCACCTCTTGCATTCCATCATCTTCTGTTTATTTGAAAAGGAACACAAGGCGACCCGCTCACTCATCACTCTTTCACCCCAAAACCCCAGCAGCAGTCAAACATGGCTTACTGCTCCTCCCTCTGCTCCCCCAAATTCCTCTTCCTCTTCCTCCTCCTCTCCGCCGTCCCCATCGCCTACCTCATCTCCCTCGAGGTCGCCAAACCCGCCACCCACGTCTACCACTACCACAGCACCAGCTGGTTCCGCGAGTGCGCCAAGTGGGACGATCTCAACCGTCGCTTCCTTGTCTCCTTCATAGACGGCGGAATCGGCCAGGTAACGGTGCCCAGCGACGATTCCGATGCGGTTCTGGTGGAAGTCCCCGTGGTCAAACACGTTGACTTGGCCGGAAATGCTTCGCTCGGACTCGTCATCGACCGGCCCAGGAATCGCCTCCTCGTCGCCACTGCTGACGTCAAGGGCAACTTATATAGTGCGCTGGCGGCCTACGACTTGTCCACGTGGGAACGGGTGTTTCTCACTCAACTCAGCGGCCCAAGTAAGTTCCTCTTTTTGATCGTTGATCTTGATCTGGCCCGTTACCCGTTTGTTTTACTTTCATTTTTACCGCTTTCTCTAGTTGATGGCGGGTAAACCCCACGTAAATGGACGGTCTGGATTAAATTTCACCTACCAAAGCTTGCATTTTTGCCTTGAAAATTTGGAAATATAGTTGAAAATCTTGAAAAGTTTGCTGATTTTTTAGGGCATGTTTGGAAGTGTGTTTTCAGAGAGGTACTTGTATTTTTTTTTAAAAAAAGGTCGATGTGCTTCTAATATAAGCGCTTTTAGTGAAAACGCTTATGATCAAGTGCTTTTCCATACGCGCCTTTGAGTTTTGGTGTGCCATCCACCAGGGGACATTTGCTTCAATTCAGATAGCAGCCACAAAAGTAGTTAAACCTATCTATCTGATTAGTAGGATTTATTTCTGAACAATAACTTTTATGGTGTTGTCTGGTAAGTTCTGATTAAATCTGGTTATGGTATGCTTTTATTTTTGCGTTGGAAGTGGTTGGTGTGCTATTTGTTTGTCTTCTTTAAATATCTTGGTTGGTGCTAGTGAGCCTAATAGTTGTTGACCAAACTAATGAATCTTACATATAGACAGGTCCACCTGTTATCATTTTTAGTTTATTTTAAACAACCGTAGACGTGGGTGGGGGGTTATTTAAGGCCTTGTTGGAAGTGTTTTTAAAATGGTTGAAAATGTTTTTGGAACCAATCTTTGGTAAAAATGCAAGTGAATACTGGACACGCACTTGAAGTGTTTTCTGCTAAGAAGCACTTAAAAGTAATTGTGGAACTCAAAAACATTTTCTCTAAAAGCAATTTTAGTCATTTTAAAAGCACTTCCAAACAAATCCTAAGTTATCTAAGGATAGAGACAGATGGGTAGACAACAAGGAATCGGTGAGTTATTGCCGTAGGCACCGCATTACTTGAAAGAGACGAGAGACATGGGGTTGTTACGTGTTAGTATTAGTCGAAGTGTATTTATGTACTTTTGTTATTCCATTAATTGTAAGCACCACTACTAAAACTATTCGTACCATTTTTACTACAAATATTGATTGCCTCATCTCTCACACACAACATGAGAAATATCTATCAGCGGTACAATTCACAATAGACTCGTCACTCGCAAGATGTAGTCGGTAATATGGTTAGCAAATGTAGTATAGCTGTCAATTACTCAAGCGCTAATTGGTGCTTAAATGACTAATCAAGAGAGATTCGATTTATTGAATGTGGCTGAACACTTTTGACTGTAGGTCAAATATTTGTGAGCGGACTCTATCTAACACCACCCAAAGATGAAAACTGGACTAAGATATAGAAAAGTTTCTTCTAAGGTCCTCTCTGGATGGCTGACCTACTAAGTTGGAAGTTTAAAGACTCTAAACTGAGTACAATGCGGCCAAGTTTGTTTATTACTAACATGCTTTTAGTCATGTACTGAGATTTGAAAAATATGGACGAAGTAAACTATATAGACCCCTTGAAGCTTGAAATTGTTCAAGCATTTTTTTGATCCATCTTGCCACATTCTTGCATCCTTTGATTGGTGTGGATTAATATTTATTGTCAAAATCGTTATTACAGTCTATAGATATGATTGACATCCCATTCTCCGTTTTTTCTGTTGATGTAGGTGATGAGAAATCATTCGCAGATGATGTTGCAGTTGATGCAGAAGGTAATGCATATGTGACAGATTGCACAGCCAGTAAAATTTGGAAGGTTGGAGCTGATGGGAAGCTCCTCTCTACAATTAGAAACCCTCTCTTCAAAGCAAAGGAGTGGTACAAAAACTTGGTTGGCCTAAACGGAATCGTTTACCACCCAGATGGCTACTTGATAGTCATTCACACTTTCAGTGGCAAATTGTTGAAGATTGATCTAGCAAAGGGAGAGGAAGTGAAGCTCATTGAGGTAGCTGGAGGACCGCTAACATTTGGGGATGGTCTGGAGCTCCTATCTCCCACCAAGGTTGTAGTTGCCGGCAACCCTTCTGGTAGATTAGTGGAGAGCTCTGACGGGTGGGAGACAGCTTCCGTTGTGGGAAAATTCTCTGGCCCAAAGCATCGGTTGGCCACAGCAGCAACCGTGAAGGACGGGAAGGTGTATCTCAGCCACATGGTTGGCATGGGATACCCCAAGAAGACGCATGCCCTCGTTGAGGCAGTATTTTCTGCCTGAAAGCTGGACTCGTCTCAACTCCACTACCGCCATCGTATTCATATGTAGATTAGATGTTGTCTGCGGAGTTTCAATTTGATTTCTATATCAGTAAACCACATTTCTACGTTTTGAACAGATAGGCGTGTACTCGACTGTAATGCGTCGTCCGTGAATAGCCTCTGTAACTTTCGAATCATCCGAGAGGGGGATTCCCAGCTTCCATTGTCCCTCCTCCTCTCTTTTGGTTTGTTTTATTCCGACCATAAACGATCCTAGTATTTGGATTGGGCTTCCTACTTTCTCTTGTTCTTCTCGTGGGTTGAACATAAACGGGCCTGGTTTATAAATGAGAGGTTTGGGCTTGTAGTGGGCCTGCATTTAAATTTCTTTTTCTTTTCCTTTTCAAAGTAGAAAACAAAGCGTCGCCTCCTTTTGCTGCACACGACAACATGTTTGGTGCAAAAACCATTTAAGGGCTACGACCCATACAGCTATTAATCCCAACAAAAAAACGTTGTCATGACTCATGACTCACGTGGTAGGAAATGGACAAAGGCGATCTCATCAGGAATCTCAATTCAATTCATATATGCATTTATTGTAAATACAGAATACGATTCGGTATATCGTGTCACTGTACAAGTAGTTGAATTTTTTTTCTTTAAATATCTAACTACGTATATTATGACATTTGATGTATGGGCCATGTACTCAACACACTAAAAACTCTCTCGTGGATACGAGACAGACTTACGAGAGATAAGTGTATGCATTGTGTATGTATTTGGCGATTTTTAGATTTTCCGATGACTTTTACAACAAGGTGAAATCAAGAGAATAATGGTCTATAAAAATCACTTTCCAAACAGAAAATGATAGTCTAATGCTCTGATTTTGACATCTCGTTAACATGAGCTAGAAGTGATATGATTTGCTACTTTCTGAAGCTTGATCACTTTCCATTTTCATATGTGTTCTATAAATTAAACAAATTGAGTAGATTGCAAAGCATATAATACAACGCAGTGATGAAAAATAATTATACCTGTATGCTCTAGACATTTCTACTGATCATTCTCCCTCCTAACTAAAGGATGATGTTGTTTGTTAAAAAGACATAATATTTATTTCACACGTAGAAATGTAGTTACGTTGTCAATTTCATAAACTATTTTTTTAACAATTAACCACCCAACTTTACCGATTGGCAACTGCTCCTTTGCTCTCAAATCTGCGAACTGCTCTGCAGTCTGCACATGCATTTTCCTTTACTAATTTCCTAATTATGTTCCTTTTTCCTCATCCCAAATCTACCAAAAATCTCCCAACACTCTCCCATTGACTCCTCAGTCCCACTGAGAAATTCAGAAATTATGGAAAGGCAGAGAAGTTTCTCTTTCAAACCCACCAGATTGCTGGTGTTTTCTTTCACCATCTCTTCATCTCTAATCTTTCTCACTTTCTTTACCATCTGGGTTACTAAATCCACCCCTTCAATCCCCCAAGAAACCCGCTTCCCGTCTGTAGCTATTCAGACTATGACCGGTTTCAGTGGAAATTTCTCAGTAAATGCTCTGAAAGATTCCATCTTGGAAGGTGCCCATTTGAGTAAACCGGAAAATGCATCTGGGTTTTCTGGGGCTTCACTTACAGGTGATTTGCAGAAGAAGAAGAACGAATCCCAAGTTGCTGAACACGAAGAGGGAGCAAACGGTGGGCTAAATGGTAACTTCACATCGATGGAGAAAAGTGCTCCGGCAATCCTGTTTCTGAAGATTGAGAGTACTGAAGAGCAAAATGCTGAATTGAATAGGACTGGAGGGCAAAATGCTGAGTTAAATAGGACTGGACGGCAAAATGCTGAATTGAATAGGACTGGAGGGCAAAATGCTGCACTGAAAAAGATTGAAATTTCAAGTGATGGGGTGGTAGAAGAGAAGAGAGTGAGAGGGTGCGATTTTACAAGGGGGAGGTGGGTATATGATGAGAGCTATCCTCTGTACACAAATGTGTCCTGTCCTTTGATAGATGAAGGTTTTAATTGTCAGGGCAATGGGAGAAAAGATAAAGACTACATGAAGTGGAGGTGGCAACCGCAAGATTGTGACATTCCAAGGTAGTTTCTATCTCCAATCCTTTAATTTACTTGAAAGAAAAGCAATTTTTTTTTTTCTTCCGAGAAATATACGATGAATTGATTGTTTAAGCTTTGGTATTTTGGCCTGGACACAACAATGTAGTTAGACAAACTGCAATCATGATTGTTGAAGTAGTGTATGGTTGCACGTGCCCTAGGTTCAATGCTACGAAAATGCTGGAACTGATGAGAGGGAAAAGACTAGTTTTCGTGGGGGATTCAATCAATAGGAATCAATGGGAATCCATGATGTGCATGTTGATGTCAGCTGTAAGAGATCCAACTAGGGTCTATGAGACGCATAGGCGTAGAATAACCAAAGAGAAGGGGAATTACAGTTTCAAATTTGTGGTATTTCTTCAGATTGTTCTCTGGTGTTTAATTTGCAGGTTATTATTATGTGTTTTGTTTCTGAAGTAGCGTTCTTTATATAGGATCACAAGTGCACAGTTGAATATTATGCGTCCCATTTCTTAGTTCATGAAGGTAAGGCAAGAGTAGGTCAGAAGCGGGTGCAAACCTTGCGAATTGATTCCATCGATCATGGATCATCTAGATGGAGAGGAGCTGATATTTTAGTATTCAACACTGCTCACTGGTGGACCCATTACAAAACTAAAGCCGGGTCAGTTCCATTACCGAACTATTATCAAGCTTTTCAGGATCTAGGGTACCATGCTCGTTGTTGGGAGATTGTACTCGTCTTGAAATCTGATGATGGGTTAAAACTGAAAAATGACATGTTTACAGTATGCAAGTGATACATCTAATAAGTATCTTGAATGGGAAACCTGATGTTTGAAGCTTGTAACAGGATTAATTACTACCAGGAAGCGGGCCAAATTCATCCGCAGCTTGATGTTTCCACGGCTTTCAGAAAAGCCTTGATGACTTGGGGATCATGGGTTGATAAACACTTCAATCCACGCAAAACCCAAGTTTTTTTTCGAAGTTCAGCACCATCCCATTTCAGGTTAGCTTGTGTTCATATTGCAGCAATGCTGAACTTGTGCAAGTCAGTAGCTGATTAATTTATAACTCATTGAACAGGGGAGGTCAATGGAATTCGGGTGGGAGTTGTAAGGAAGCAACCCAACCCCTCCAAACTTCGAGCTCTTCTTACTCTGAGAAGAATACAATTGCAGAAGAGGTCATAAAGCAGATGAGAACTCCTGTGAAATTCTTGAACATAACCGGCTTGTCCGAATACAGAATCGATGGTCATCCGTCTATATATGGAAGAAATTCTAGAAAGTCGGGGATTCAAGACTGCAGTCATTGGTGTCTTCCTGGTATTCCTGATGCCTGGAATGAATTGCTGTTTCTTCATTTGCTGCAGTAATTGAGGCTAAACCGGTTTTTGTTTCATCTGACTTGTATATAATTCTTCCTTTCAAGGATATTGCTATTCACACTCATTTTTATTTCCCACACACTCTTGTTATTTTTAGCCATTGAGCCTTTAATTCATTCAATCCGACGATCAAAAGTTAAGAGAGACGTGTGAGAAGTAAACGTGTTATAAATTTGTTCACTTTGCTGCATGGCTGACTAGGTAGCTTGTAATTTTGGTTTCCATCTTCTGTCATAAAGGGGCTATTAATTTTTTTGTCTTCCGTTGTGTCTCACACTTACCCTTTTGGTCCTTTGAATGCGAAGGAGGAATCCCAAGTAAAGGGTAATGTTAGGCAGGTTAAATTTTGTAAACTAAATGACATATAAATTAATGACTGGATTATTACTTAATTGTTGATTAACGTCCTTATTTTTTGAAGTAATGCTAGGTCGACTAAATTTGTAGATAAAACTTTATAAACTAAATGATGTGTTGCTGATAAAAAATGAGTAAGTTTATCAACCCTTAAGTAATAATCTAATCATTAACTTCCATGTCATTTAGTTTATAAATTTTAATCACCAAATTAAGTCTCCATATAATTACCTTATTTTTTGGTGCAAACACATTATTTAGTTTGTAATTTTAGTCTACAAATTTAGTGTACCTAGCATTACTCCTAAGTAAATGGCAAATTTATCTTGCTGCCTTTCGACCAAGAAGGTGTTTATTTTTTGAACAAACAATATTATCTATACTAAGGAAGAGAAGGGTGGGCTTAGCCTCACAATTGGCTAGCAATAATATGATACAAAATCGTCTCTGACGAGAATCGAATCTAAGACCTCACTTACAAATGAAGAGTAATATTACTAGATCGTAATACTAAGGCCATCTCCAACCGAAGAGTCCAGAGGGTCAAAGGGCCGAAAATAGCCCAAAAAATTGTCTTCAACTGAGGGCTAGGCTAGAGGGCTGTGGAATATGAGAGGGTCCCACGGAATCAGAGAGGGCTAGAAGGTTGGAGGGCTGGCTGCATGCAACTAGCCAGCCAGCTCGGGGTTGGCTAGAAAATGGAGCAATCCTGTCTGTTATAATCGACAAGAATATATTTATATTAAAAATTAAATATATTTATAACCGACAGGATTGCTTAAAAAAAAAAAAATTTGAATACAACGGCTAGTTGATTAGCCGTTGTATTCAAATATATATTTGGTTTTTTGGGCCAATTTTTTTTTTTAATTCTTAAAAATTCTATTTTTTTCCTATAAATACCTAAACCATTCATTAAATTTAAGTTCTAATTTTTTTGGTTTTTTGAGCCAGTTATCATTGTAGTTTTTAAATTTAAGTTGTTGGATTTGAATTTAAATTGTTGTAGTTTTTAAATTTAAATAATAAATTATGTTTGGCCCTATGGTCCTTTGGCTCTTGGTTGGAGACGAAGGCAAATATGGCCCTGTACTGTTCATTAAAATATTAATATCTTGGAGGATATTGGAGGGTCAAAGGGCTAAAACGAACCATCTGGTCAGCCATCGGTTGGAGATTGCCTAAGTGTCTTGAGCAAGGTCTTAGAACGTTGAGTTGGCATATATTAAGTTGGGCTGGACTTTTGCCTAAAAGTTGTTTTGGGCTTTTACTGCCCTTGTTTAATAAAGTTATTCTAACTACTATACTCTATGTATGAAGAGATTCCTTCGTATCATCATTTTAACACGTGTCAAGTATTTATGAAAAAATGATATTTTAGTCACCTAACCACATTCAAATTGCACGTCCTTTTAAAGCTTTTAACTAGGGAATCATCAGTGTTTTTG